GCCGGGCGGGGCCGGGGCGGCGTGCGCCGGGGGTGCGGCGGCGGGGCCAGGGTTTGGGCATGGGGGATGGGAATCTGGGGGTGAGAGGCGGGCGCAAAATCTAGGCCTGGAGCAGAGCCCTGGGCAAGAATGGGGGAGGTCGTATGCGCTGGGTCTTCGCCCTAGTGGCTGCCTGACTCTGGGAATGAAAGATGGGGTGAGTGGGAGGGGCAGGCCCTGGGCCCTGGAGCAGGAGAGGGCAGGAGCGGCCTCTTCCCCAGGCCTTTGCGGTGATTGTGAGATCACCGCATCCACCCGGGACCTATAGGAGAGGCAGCTTCCCCCTCTGGAAGTTCTCGGGGGAAGGCATAAGCAGAGCAGTGGAGGATCCCCCAGAGCCACGGCTGCACAGCCCCTTTGCTCCCCAACCCTGAGCAGGACAGGTGGGGCAAAGGAGCCTGAGAATGGATGGGGATTGCCCAAGGTCACTCCCCCTGCCGCTCAGTGGCAGAGCTGGGTCTGGACCCTGGTCTCCTGACACCCAGTGCTCTTTGCACCACAACTGGTGGCCTCCTGGGAGAGGGAGGCTGGCTGGACCATGCCCTCAGCCTGGGCTTTTGTTTGGGTGCTGCTCGGGGCCGAGGCAGGGCTCAGCCTCCGATTGGCCCTGGCCGGCCCCTCCCTCCTCCGTCTCCAGCGCCCTGTGCTTGCCCCATCTCTGCACTTACCGCCCCCTACACGCTTGCCTGTCTCCCTTACTAGACTGTCACCTCATTTTTCTGTTTCCCCAACCCCCTGACACAGAGTTCAGGACAGTGTATGCTCAAGAACACTTGGTAAGGAGTGAGGACGCCTGTCCCCCTGTGCAAAGGAGGCAGGGGTGCTTCCTGCCCCACCGCCCAGGTGTGAAGCCGCAGTTTCCTTAGATCTTGCCATGTGCTGTGAGATGTTAGAGCGCTGTGCAGTGGGGCTTTGGGGCAGCTGGGAAAGAGGAGTCAGCATGTGCCCCCATCTGACTGCCCAGTATTTGGGGAGAAAGCTGATATGGGAAGAGCCTGGAGTTTGCCTGATACTAGCAAATCTAACTTCAGCTTTTCTTGGTGGGGTGACCTTGTGGGCTTTGAAATTAGATGGACTGGGACTGGAATCCTCTTGGTCATTGATTAAGGGTCCTTGAGTGAGGCATGGAGCATCTCTGAACTTCTTCCTTTTTGTCAAAAACATGTTGTGAGGATTAGCAAATAGTAAGTGCTCAATAAACAGCAGTTATCATCATTACTGCACCGGTAATCTTGTTAACAGAACTTTAGTTCTAATTCTTCTAGTGTGTCTCCTGAAGATACGCTTCTGGAACAGTAAGCAGAAATGTGGCCCTTTCTAAAGCCAGCCAACTTAAAACAAGAGTGTTTCGGAATGTGCAAAGACCCTGGCTTCCTAGCAAATAAATAAAACATTCTGGAGCAATTTCATGGGGGGAGGCATCAGCCTATTGTTGTTACCTGTTAAGAGTGCAAATGTGTCATCTACTGAAAAGTTCTCATCTGGGACAAATATTGAGCAATTCTCATGCCAAAAACACTGTGCTAAGTGTCCTGGGGGATGAAAAGACATTGGCTAGTGGCTTCCAGTGTGTTTGGAGAGTCAAGACATATTCATATGAAAATGATGAATGGGCCAAGGGGAAAATACAAGAGGTGTTTTTGTGGAAGGGGCTGAACTGGTACAGCTGGGGGCAGATCCTTCCCACAGATTGGGCAAAGCTGTATTGTGTTTTCCTAGGCCTAAGAGGCATTCTTAATAGAGTTTTGATAACAGAATCTTTGGCATTTCTGGGATGGTTTACTGAGATTGCATGAAAAAAATAATAAATTGGGATTGCTCTAGAGCAGTGATTCTCAAACTTGAGGGTGCATCAGAATCCCCCGGTGGGTTTGTTAAAACCCAGATTGCTAGGCCCATTCCCTGAGAGTCTGTTGCAGTAGTCTGGGGTGGGGCCTGGGAATTTCTCAGGTGATGCTAATACTGTGGGTTTGAGAACCACTGGGCTGGGGAATCCTGGCTCTGTGGTTATCAAATTTAAATGGGAATTGACTCTGGAAAGCTTGGCAAAGTAGATGAGAGCTAGAATCCCAAGTGGAGACATCTAGCCTTTGTTTTGTAGGCAGTGGGGAGCCATAGAAGACTTGAGCAGAGGAACAGCATGGGAGGAAAAGTGGTCCTTTACAAAAATTGATGTACGGGCCCAGAAAAGTGGGGAAAGGGGGAGCTCAGAGATCAGTTAGGAATTTAGGTAGGAATCGTGATACTAGCTGCCACTGCCATGTAAAGCCCTTTCTCTAAAAGCCCCATCCTCTTGCCTCTATTTTACAGATGAGGAATATGAGGCTCAGAGAGATGAAGCTGAGCTGGGATCAGAACCCAAGTTTGTCCAGAATCTGTGCTCTTAAAGCACTAATTCCGCTGCTGGTGGCGGGGCTAGAAAGGGCGCCTGAGCCCTGTGTCCATGCTCTGAGCGAAGGTCCACCCTTTTTCCTTCCTTGTCTTCCACCTTTCACCATTTTCCTGCAGCTCTGTCTGAGCTCCCCCACCACTCCTTTCATTCCCCAAACACGGACTGAGCATGCGCCATGCTCCCAGCACTGTTCCAGGCACTGAGAAGACAGCAGGGCTACACAGGCTGCTTCTAGCAGGGAGACAGTAAACAAGGCACAAAATAAACAAACAAACAAAAAAAGGTATGTGTTAGAAGAAGCTACGGAATCAGAAAGGTGAGAGAGCTCAAGGGGAGTTCAAGGGTAGGAGACTGTTGTGATTTCAATGAGAAAATGAACTTGGAAATGTGAGCCTGAGAATGCTGGATTCTAGTTCAGACTCTGCCCTAGGATCTTGGACAGGTCCCTTCTTGGGTTTTACCTGTAGAAAAGATCTTTCGAGATATGCTGCTCCACCCTGCTCCTTTGACACATGGGGAAACTGAAGCCTGTAGGCAGAAAGATTAGAGTGATGGGAAGACATGGGAGCCCATGAGAGCTCCTGGACCTCCCTTCCTCTCCCCAGCACTCCAGCCCCCAGGCTCTTTCTCCAGAGCTGGCCACTTGGCTGTTTATCTTAGTCAGTACTGGTGTTAATAAATTACTTGGAGTCCAGTTCTGGAGCAAAGGTCTTGGTTGACAAATTGGAGGAGCTGATCTTCTCCCTGCCTCCACCCCTTCCAGGGGAAGCATCCAGTCTGCCAGTGGCTTTGTTGAAACTCGCCTGGTTCTTCATAGTATCTCTGTACAGCGGACCAGGTCTGCTAGCTGGCTCCAATGACATGTTACATTCTGGAGCTGCCATGGGATTTGTGGCCCTGTTCCCAGAAATGTGGGTCACCAGCTTAGAGTAGCAGGGCGTCTGAGAATGTGGAAGGGCTGAGGCTCCCCATATCCCTGCATGTCCTGAATTACTTTGTCCCACAGCTTCTATTCCAAGGACAATGAAGGCAGCTGGTTCCGCTCACTCTTTGTGCATAAGGTGGATCCCCGGAAGGATGCTCACTCCACCTTACTGTCCAAGAAGGAGACCAGCAACCTCTACAAAATCCAGTGTGAGTGGCTGCTGCACCCACCAGCCCGCCCTCCCAGGGCCTACAAGGTTTCAGCTGGGAGATGAGAGGGGCTGGGATATTGAGCTGTTCTGGGGGCTCTGGCCCTATTGGGCTCCCCCAACCTCGGACACACACAGACACCCCCTGCTTCACCTCCCACTCTCTGTCCTCTGTTGCAGTTCACAATGTGAAGCCTGAGTGTCTGGATGCCTACAACAGCCTGACGTGAGCATCTTCCCCCATCCACCTGTTCTAGTGCCTGTTTGGGTGGGGACTGTATCCAGCCCCGTTTCGCTTATAGAAATCCAGGGATGTACATTTCAGAGCCGGAAGTCCTAAGGATGTCTTGTCCAGCATCTGCATCTTAGAGATGGGGAGACTGACGGCCAGCCCTCAGGGCCCTGGTGGCTGGTGTGAGCCCTCTTCCATCTCTGTGCCCCTCTCACAGGGAAGCTGTGCTGCCCAAGCTGCATCTGGATGAGGACTACCCCTGCTCGCTTGTGGGCAACTGGAATACATGGTATGGGGAGCAGGACCAGGCAGGTGAGGTGCCCACCTCTCCAGCGCCAGTGCCGCTGACCCCAGTCCCCCAGCACTTCCTACACCTGGCTGCCCTCCACTTCCTCTCCACAGCAGCACAGAGGGGTCTTTCTAAATGCAGTCCTCATTGGCTCACTCTCCTTCTCAAACACCTGTAGTGGCTCCCTTCTTCCCTTGGGGTGGTCCGTGCAGCTCTTCGAGTCCTTTCCTGCCCAGCCTCTGGCCTCGTCTCTCCATATCCTTGCTTACTGCACTATCCTGCCCGTGACAGTTTCACCCTCTAGTTCCACACTGTTGTTCTTGGTGTGTCCTCTGCCCACAGCAGTCTTTCTCCCTTGCCCACTTTCCCTGGCTCACTCCTCTACTCATCTTTTATTTTGGCATAGATACCACCTCCTCCTGGAGGCCTCCCTGATTCCTTCCACCCAAGCTGGGTCAGACATCTCCCCTGGCTCCCCATCCCCCAGGACTTGCCTCTTCACAGTCCTGATCATGCACCCTGTAGTATACTTGTGTGTCTCCCCAGGTAGGTGGTGAGTCCTGGGAGGGAGGAGCCCCTGCCTGTCTCTCTTCACCACTGAATCCCCAGTGTGCAGCACGTATTTGTGGAATAAACGGGCTCTTGTCTGAGCTGGTTCCTTACCCCCCAGCATGCTCCATCCCACCCCAACTTACCTACCTCAGTTGGCACCAGCAGGTAGGAGCCACACATGGATTTGGCTGACTCACAGCTCCTCAGCCACTGAAAGCGGCCTTGGCATTTATATCTGCGCTGTCCAGGAAGGTGGCCACTAACCATGTGTAGCTATTTAAGTTTAAATTAGGTAAAATGAAATGAAAAGAAAAATTCAGTTCCTCAGTCACACCAGCGACGACGTTTCAAGTGCCCACTGATAGACAAATGTGACTCGTGGCTACTGTGTTGTGCAGCACAGCTATAGAACATTTGCATCATAGTAGGAAGTCCTTTTGTATAGCGCTGATTTTTATTTGTTTTTTGATGATAAATGTATCTCATTTATTTAGATGTTTAAGGTACAGTGCTGATTTAGACTACACAGCACAAGGAGCGCCTCTGGAGCTGCCCTGGTAGACAGTTCTCTAAGTTTCCCTTGAACACTCCCAGCAATGGGGAGCTCACTACCACTTAAGCCAACCTGTCTCATCCTTTCATAGCCCTGATCACTGTGTCTTTAAAAAAATCTGTGATGTGCAGGTAGACTCTCTTAATCATTTATTCTATTTCAGTAACAGTCATCAATATGTCAAAAAGTAGATAAGAGTAAAGCAAACTGTCTTCAGTTCCAGCTCCTACAGTTTTCCCATTTTAGGTACAACTTAATCAGCTCTGGCAGCACCCCTTGGATTCTCCTAAGTGTTTGCTAGTTGGGAAATGAACTTTGGGGAATGAGATCCTGAATTTTTAAAGCATGTCCTACATTTTATGTATCTTTTTTTTTTTTAATGTTTTTACTGATTTCAGAGAGAGGAAAGGAGAGGGAGAGAGAGAGAAACATCAGTGGTGAGAGAGAGTCATTGATCCGCTGCCTCCTGCATGCCCCCCACTGGAGACTGAGCCCACAACCCAGGAATAGAACTTCTATCTCCTGGATCATAGGTTGATAGTCAACCACTGAGCCATGCCAGCCAGGCACATTTTGTATATCTTGAAGTGTTGTCTCCTGTGTAGAATCAGCTGGGGAACAGGCCCTCCGAGACATCCCCTAGGAGTAGGCCCTAGGAATCTACATTTTAATGAATTTGTAAAAACCACAGATCCATCTTCTAGAGGAGCCACTTTCATTGGTAGAAAATGCTTTCTTCTCGTGGGCCTAGAATGCCCGGCCTGTAACTTTTTCCTGTTGATCCCCCCTCCCCCACTGTAAACTTAATTCCTCTTCCACAGGTCAGCATTCCTGGTTTTGGTAGACTTCCATTCATACAGTACTTTTGCTGTTTCCCCTGGGGAAGGGGCTTTAAACTACAGGGTCAACCAGCTGCCCTCAGCTCTGGCCTGCCCAATTGACCTTTCGGGAGTTTCCTTCACTTGTCCCAGCCATTCTCCCAAGGATGATAGGACTATTTCCTTTCTTTGCATCCGCAGTAACTATGTTTCTTTATTATTTCAAAATGTACCTGTTTCTTAGAGCTGCCATAACGAAGTTCCAATCACTAGGTTCTTCAAAGCAACAGAAAGCTATTCTTTCAAGTTCTGGAGCCCAGAAGTTTGAAATCAAGGTGTAGGCAGTGCCATGCTCCTTCCAAAGGCTCTAGGGGGAACATCTTTCCTCGCCTTTTCCAGCTTCTGGTGGTTACTGGAAATGCTTGGCATTCCTTGGCTTGTAGATGTATCACTCCAGTCTCTGCCTCCTTAGGCACATAGCGTTCTCCCTGTGTCTCTCTCTTCACTTGGTATCCTTTCTCTGTTTGTGTCCAAATTTTCCTCTTATAAGAACACTAGTCATTGAATTTAGGCCAACCCAATATGACCTAATATTAGTTTAATTACACCTACAAAGACCCTGTATTTCCAAATAAAGTCACATTCTGAGGTTCTGGGCAGGCATGAACTTAAGGATAGGGGAAATATTTGACCCAGTATAGGAGCTATGATAAAAATTTCAAATAGGACAAGAGCTTGCAGTGAAAAGCAAGCCTCCTTTGTGCCTGCAGTCCCCAGGCCTCAGTTCTCTGCCTCAGGGGCATCTCCTGTCACAATCTCTTGGGTCTCTATCAAGAGATGGTGCATAGGCCAGCATCTCTGGAGAAGTCCCTCCACCCCTAAACATACCACACATGTTTTTCTGTTTCTTGGTTTATTTTAATTCGCTGTCTTGGAATGTTCTATCTCAGCCCATCAGATCTACCCTCTCCTTTCATCCAGCCTATCCTTCACAGGCCTGGCTTTATGTGTGCCACTGCTCCATGGGTACAAATTCACATCTGATTCTCTTTCTGTTTAAGGAAGTTTGGGTGGGAGCATTATTGTCGTTTTCAAGATGAAGACATCGAAGCCTAGAGGGGTCAAAAGCCACCTGGCAGAGCTGGAGTTCAAGCCTAGGTCTTCTGGGCTTGTGTCTGGGGTCATCCCCTGCTCATCACTGACTGTCCCCCAGCAAGGCAAAGGAAACGCAAGAGGGTCCTGGTGCTACAGAAACCAGGCTGGAGACCACCTTGCATACATACTTAGCTAATTTGGGGGTAAGCTGGGCAGGGTCTCAGGGGCCCCCTTACCTGAACTTCTCACCCTGCAACAGTGCACCTGTGGCGATTCTCAGGCGGCTACCCAGCCCTCATGGACTGCATGAACAAACTCAAAAACAACAAGGTATGTTGGTGACTACTCAGCAGACCTCTCTGCTTATTGGTTCTGGCCCAGCCCTGTGCTGTGGGCTGCCTCTGCCACCCTGTGGGACACACTGCATGGTGGGAGGTACTGCTTCCTGGCTGTCATGCCCTGACCTCCATGTCCACAGGAGTACCTGGAGTTCCGAAAGGAGCGGAGCCAGATGTTGCTGTCCAGGAGAAACCAAATGCTTCTCGAGTTCAGCTTCTGGAATGAGCCACAGCCCAGAGCAGGACCCAACATCTATGAGCTGAGGACATACAAGCTCAAGGTGACTTCCACCAGATCCTTGTCTGCTCCCACTTTCCCTGCTATAATATAGCTGTACAGGTGCCCCAAGGTGGGTGGGCCCTGTGCCCCTGGACCTAAACTGGGGTTTCTGGTCTTTCCCTCCCTCTGGGCTCAGGACAGAGGTGTGTGTGCTTCTGGGCGCACATGCACATCCAGATGCGAGTCAGGGCCCCTGAATGAGGCCAAGCGACTCCTAAAGCTGGGGAGACCTGACAGTTTCCCATTTTCACCCAGCTGTGATGCTGGGAATCTAAGGGGAGGGCTCATTCAATTCTCTTCTGGTTCTCTTTCAGCCAGGAACCATGATTGAGTGGGGGAACAACTGGTAAGTGGCATGCCAGGGGCTCGGGCTGGGGAGAACCTGCCCACCTGCCCTGCCATATGGCCCCAGGGTACCACCTTTCCCAGGGCCATATGGCAGGGAACCCTGCAACCTCTGCGCCTCATGGATCCAGTAGACGGATCCAACCCAGAGGGATCCAATCCCAGGGGATTCTAGAGGATCCCCTCGAAGAACACCCAGCCAGCAGCTGTACTCTGTCACCCTATTCCCTGACCATCTCTGAGAGCTGGGGGCCCTACCTCAGGCCTCTCCCCCACACTCTTCTGCTGTCCCAGGGCTCGGGCCATCAAGTACCGACAAGAGAACCAGGAGGCAGTAGGCGGCTTCTTCTCACAGATAGGAGAGCTCTACGTTGTGCACCATCTCTGGGGTAAGCTGGGGACCCTCCAGGAGCCTTCTGCTAGTCCCCTTTCTCCATTGTTACTCCATTGTCATTTGTGTAGACAATGGAAATACATTAGTACCCTGTGGCACTTACATTCTAGCAGAGGGAGATACCACTTTAGACAGAAATGAACAGATAATTTCAGATTCTTACAAATAATAGTGACAGGGAGAAATCAAGAAAAGCATGGAAACCTGCAGTGGCTAGAAGAGACAAAGAAGGCCTCTCTGAGGCAGTAAAAATGTAAGCCCAGCTGAAGGATGGAAAGGAGCCAGCTGTGAATTGCGAGGGAAGGGCATTCCAAGTAGCGGGAGCAACACGTGCATACGCCCTGTGCTGGGGAAAGGCCTTCAGGATTTTGAGGAGTGCAAAGGAAGCTGGTGTAGAGAGAGCGGGGAAGCGTGTGAGGAAGTCAGGCTGGGCCTTGCGGGCCATGGGAGTGGGTTGGGATTTATTCAAAATGCGATGGGAGGCTCCTGCGTGACGTGACCTGATGTGTGTTCTAATATGATTCCTTTGGCTGCCGTGTGCTATGCTGATAGCACTCTATAGGGGAGCAAGAGAGGAAGTGGGGCGTCAGGAGATGGTTATACTAGTTCAGGCAGGAGAGGTGGTGGCCTGGCCAACGTGGTGGCCAGACTAATTAGTCTGGAAGTGGAACCAGTGAGACTTGTGGATGAGCTGTCTCTGTGGAGCAAGAAGAGGACTCCGGAATTCCCAGACTCATGCTTCAGCAGCTGTGTGTCACTGAGACGCTAGGAGGAGCAGGTTGGAGAGTTCAGGAGTTTAATTTTGGCCCTCAAAAGAGTTATACTTGAGATGCTGACACATCCAAGTGGAGATATTAAGTAGGCACTGGACAAACGAGTCTGGGAGCTGAGGGAAAGTTTTAGGCTGGGTATATAAATTTGGGAGTTGTCAATAAGTGTACTGATTGGATGAGATTGTCAAAACAGAGTGTTTACTGACAGTCAGAGGCATTGGGGAGGAAAACAGCAGGGCAGGGTTTGGAGCAGTGGGAGGAGGGCCCACTGCTAGGTGCTGGGTACAGGGTAGGATCCTCTGTGCCCAACACATGAGGCAATACCTTTCCCACAGCCTATAAAGACCTTCAGTCTCGGGAAGAGACTAGAAATGCTGCTTGGAGGAAGAGGGGTTGGGATGAAAATGTCTACTACACAGGTGAGTACTTCTTGGGGGGTTGGGGGAAGGTGAGTGGGGCCCTTGGTGGTCATGTGCTAGGAGCCCTGAGGATGGAATCTAGTCTCACTTGACTACCTCCAGTGATGGGGAACTTGCTTTTAAGACAATGAATTATTGGGTTTCTATCCTGGTGGCACCCTGCACGTGATCCAGGCAGTCCTAAGTGAGTGCTCTAAGGAATGATGTAAGTTTCTTCATCTCTAAAATGGCGATGGTGATAGTGCCTGCCTTGAAGGGCTGGAGGGAGGATTCCAGGAGCTAATTTATGAAAAGTGCTTCACCCAGATTCTGGCACAGAGGACGCACCCAGCAACTATTTTCCAGCAAGTTATTTGTCACTTTGCTGGGCCTCCCAGAACTGCCTGGAATCAGTAGGTGTTGATTAAGCCCTCGCTGTGTGCCAGGGACTGTGGTGGGCAGGTGGTTGGGGGTCCCAGAATGAAGAGGAGCCTATCCCTGCCCTTGAGAAGCTTACAATTGGGCTTCCACACTTAAACTAACTGGTGTGGGGAGAATGCATCTCCTGAAGGTGTTAACAGGTGCCTGGTCCCAAATAACTGTGGTATCAGCATCCCCTGGAACCTTTAGAAATGCTGAACCTCAACCCCCTCCCCCACCCACTGAATCAGAATCTGCACAAGAACTGTAGGTAATTTGTTTGCACAGCAAACAATAGCAAACAAATACCTTTGAGCAGGAGTCTGACCTCCTGAGTGACTTTGGGTTGACCTGCTCTGGGTTGCAGCCTCCCCATCTGTAAAATGAGACAGTTGAACTAAGTCTGTTTTTCAAACCTCAGCCACTTGAGGATCCCCTCACAGCTTTTGTCCTATTTTTCTTTAAATCCCCCTACTTTGTTCTTTACCTAGCACTGTCCTAAGTAATAGTATCTGTGAAATGACTTTTTTTTTTAAGATTTTTTTTATTGAATTTTAGAGGGAGAGGGAAAGAGAAAAACATCAATGTGAGAATGGTACATTAATCAGCTGCCTCCTGCACTCAGTCCACAACACAGGCATGTGCCCTGATTGGGAATCAAACTGGCAACCTTTTGGTGCATGGGCATTGCCCAACCAACTGAGCCACACTGGCCAGGACTCTGTGAAATGACTTTTTGCTATAAAAGTTATGTATTTATTTATTTTTCTCCACAAACTCAGGAAAATAAATATATAATTATGAAAAAATTTTAAATGTTGCATTTCATCACCACCTAAGTCCCTCTTCTCCCACAAGTTGTAAGACCTGTTGTTCTCCATGGGCCATTCCAGAAGGACAGTGGAGGCATTTCCTATCTAAGCATCCCAGGCATTCCCCCCCTTCAAAAGCCAGTTTCCGGGGTTAGCTTGCCTAATTCACCTCTTTGACCTCTGCCTCTCTCCACAGTCCCCCTGGTGCGACACATGGAATCTCGGATCATGATCCCTTTGAAGATCTCACCTCTCCAGTGATGCTGGGCTGCCTCCACCTCATTACTCTTCTCCCTCAGGGCAGCCACAGACAGGAGCTCCCAGTCCTGCTGTCCTAGTTTTCTCTCAGATCTGGGAGGACTCTGGGGGCTAGTGCTCAGCTCAGACAATGGGGAGCTGAAGGATGACAGAGTTTTGAGGACTTGCAACTCTGCCTGCCCTGCCCATTCCTTCCCCTGTCCTGGAAGCAGTTTTTAATTTCTCTGAATGAAGAACAGCAACCTTTTATGTCTTCTCACATTACCCCTAAGATGCCTCATCTCAAGGCCACCAGTCCCAACTATCACCATGGAAAACCTCAGTTTAGCTTTAGTTGTACAAAAGGTAGTGTGTCTAGTGGTTAGAGGTGGGGTGGGAAGGGAAGAGGTCAAACCAGACCAGGCTCTTGGGAATTCCCTGGTCTCCACGGACCACCCACTTACTGGACAGTCTGAACCAAGTCCTTCCTGCTGGGGAAAAGCCTAGAACTAAAAAGTAAACGAAATCCCTAAAGTTAGCAAAGTCAGCAGGAGGTCCACCTAATTAACCCAGAAAGGCTCTGGGGACAGGAAACAGCATGGAATAGGAACAAAAACCCAGAAGGTAGAACTTTAGAATTCAGACCTTGGGTTTGAACTGCAGAACTTGGAATACAGAATGGGGAAAATAGAACAGAGGTGACAGAAGCCCACTTGGAAGGGTTTTCTAGTACAAGACAATTGGAAAGAGACTCATCTGTTTTCCTCTAGGTAATGAGGTTGAAACCTGAACGTGTAGTTCCAGCCCCTCTGTGCAGCCCTCTTACTTCCTGTAAGCAAAGATATGGGCCAGGGCCTGTATTTCCCTCATCCTGCATCCCTTTTCGCCCTCTTCACATTTAATCAGCCCAACTCATTCTCTTGGGCCACTGGGTATGTGAAATGGTATCAGTGACTTTGGGGGCCTCCTCAGTGACCCCCACATCTCATGAACCTCTGGGTAGACTGATTCTGCCTCCCTTTCAGGAAAACTTGTGCTGGAATTGCTGATGAAACCAATTAAATGTTTACTATAAACGATGGTGTCCTTTCTTCATCTGCAAGGAACTTTGGTAGGTGCCCAAGGCAGGGGTGTCTTCCCAGTTCCAACTGCTGATTTACCTCCCAGTATGATCCTGTGCTCCCTAAGCTACTCTCAGGGAGGGCCTCCCCCTGTGTGAAAGGAACTGGTGTCTATAACCAGGGATTCAGGACATCAGTGTTTCTACCTGCAGATAAGGATTTACACCTAAAGTTCTGAACCCTGCCTATACGTTTCCTGCCAGGGATAGAAAACGCTTGAAGCTGTCAAATGCTGCATTAGAACTGCGACTGCCCTGGGCAAATAGGGTCTAAATGAGAAACTACTGATGCACCTGTGGGAAAAACAGGTGCGATGGGGTCAATGCCCTCCCTGACTTGCTGCCCTCACTAGTGTGGGATGTCAGGGTGAATGTGACAGTGGTTAAGAATCCAGGTTATGGAGGCAAACCTACAGGGGTCCAAATCTTGACACTACCATACTTAAAAATTTTAATTTATTGATTTGGGGGGGGGGGCCAGAAATATTGATTTGTTTCACTTATTTATGCCTTCCTTGGTTGATGCTTGTACGTGTCCTAACCCAGATCAAACCGGCAAACTTGGTTATCATGACGCTCTAACCAACTGAGCTACCAGACCAGGGTTCTACACTACCACGCTCTTGTGTCATCTTGGGCATAAGACCCACTCATTCAACAAATACTTGGCAGAGAGGTTACTACTAATTGCTGGACTTCAGGCACTGGGGAAAGTGAACGAAATACACTTTGCCCTCGCAGCTTCAGTTTCCTTGTGTTAAAAGGGCTGCGTAAGGGTGATGGCAACGGGGACCCTCCCTGGACCACCCAGTTGCCACGGCCCGGGGCGCCCACGTCACCCACCCGCTGCCAGCAACGCCCGGGAGCCGCTGTGCGCTTCGCTTCCGGCCTCCGGGCTTCGCTTCCGGCCTCCGCGCCTCCCTTCCGGCCGGCCGCTCCTTCCTTCCGCTTCTCTATGGCGCGCGGGCTGCGGTCTCCGGGCCACTTGAAGTAGGTTGGTCTCCGGGACAGGTTGCGGGCGCGGGGTGGTGAGGAGGGGATCGGGACCGCAGAAGGGCAGCAGGGCGAGGCCAGGTGCTCTGAGACTGAGGCGCGGACCGCCCGGAGGGCATCCTCGGGCTGGAGTCCGACCCGGGTTCTCCGTCCCCAGTCCTCCGGACCCCGCAGCTGGGCGCCGCGCGCTCAGCTTCTCGTGTGGAGAATGTTGGCTGCAGCGTCGTAGGCCCCACGTTGTAGCCTGTAGATGACGACGATGGTGGTAATGATAACCGCTCACATTTATTGTGCGCTTAGGTGTGCTAGGCACTCTTCTGTGTTAACAAAGCCATGGTTTCTCACATGTAAGCTTTTCAGGTCTTACCTTCGTGGGTTTGGCCAAATCAACTTACCCTGTAGGAGTGTTTACTAAAGGCTTTTTAATTGAGTCGCTTTTTAAGAAATATGTTTTTGGTGATCTTTAGCGAGTGGAAGGGTGAGAGAGAAAGAAACATCCCTGTGAGAGAGAAACGCACCCCAGCGGGGAAGTGAACCGCAACCTAGGGATGTGCCCCGACCGGGAATCGAATCCGTAGCTGCTGCACCGGAGGATGCCCCAACCAACTGAGCCACCTGGCCAGGGCTTAATTGAGTCACTTTTAAATTTTAAATTTACTTTATTGTTATTTTTTAATCCTCACCCAAGGATGTTTTTTCCATTGCTTTTTCGGAGAGAGTAGAGCTTTAGCATATAAGCTGTGTAAGCTTGGGAGGGAGGGGGAGAGGGAGAGAGAGAGAGAGAGAGAAACACATCCATTGGTTGCCTCCCGAAAGCTGCAACCAGAGGTACATGCCCAGGGACCCTTCAGTCCTCAGGCTCTAACCACTGAAAAAACTGGCCAGGGCTAAATTGACTTTAAAAGAAAAATTTAAATCTATCATAAATGTAAAACTACTTTCACTTGCCATATGCAGAAGGCAATGATAAAAATTAATATATTAAAATGAAAACAGATTATTGTTAATAATTCTGCCTAGATCTCATTGTCTAAGGCTCTGAGATAGAGTCCTTTTGTTAACAAAGGAGCACTGGTGTTCACAGATGTTAAACTAGGGAAATGATACTCTCCTTGAAGCAATCAGAAGTTTCTAAAGAGAATTGAAGAGATTAACTTTCTCCCCAGGTGTTCAACATCATTTAAGATCACACATGTACCGCCTAAAGCCCCACTCCTAAATCATCTTCATCACCTTACCCAGTGGAGGACATTCCTATGTTAATATTCACAACAACCCCAGAGGTATAGACTTTTATTCTCATTTGATCTGTGAGGAAACAGGCACAGAGAAAAGTACAGTGACTTGTCCTAGAATTCAGCCATAGAATAGTAGAGTGGAGACTCCAACTTAGGGCTTCTCTGAGTCTACTACTGTGAGCTATTGGCTCCCCCAATAATTGCTGTGACAGATTTGTTGGGGTAAGGGGAATAGTGCTGCCTACCTCAGGGGACCGTGGTGACAATCAGGAGATACAGCAGAGGAAGGATGCTTTTTGACCCTAGAGCTTCATGTAATGTAGGCTCTGTTCTTTTAAATTTTAGTGTTAACTAGGGAGTTGACGGCATTTCCAGATGAGATGGTGGCAAGGCTAGGAGGCACAATAATGTAGTTGTTAAGAGCACTGATGTGACATAAAATGGACCCAAGCTTTCGCATATAAGCTATGTAAGCTTGGGCAAGGCATTCACCTTTCTGATCCTCAGTATCATCTATAAAACAGTACTTGTTGTTATCTAAAAGGTTTGTATAAAGATAAAAGAGAACATACTCATAAAGTGCTTAGATTAAGGTCTAGCACACAGTAATCAATCAGTATTATTGGTAATGTGCGTATGTGCCAGGCTGAGGAGTTTGGTCAGTGGTGCGGTGGAGTTCATTTTGGACAGGATGAGGGATGCTTCTCCCCCCCCTTTTTACAGAGGATTTAACTGCAGTTTTGGTGGGTCGTCTTTCTTTTTTTTTTAATCCTCACCTGAGGATATGTTTAGAGAGAGGAAGAGAAAGAGACATCAGTGAGAGAGAAACATCGATCAGTTGCCTCCCGTACTACACCTGACGGGGGATTGAGCCTGCAACCTAGGTATGTGCCTTGATGGAAATCGAACCTGCAACCTTTTGGTGTATCGGACGACGCTCCAACCAACTGAACCACCCGACCAGGGCTGAAGAGTTGAGTCCTTTCTTGAGTTACCAAGAGTGTAAATGACCAGAACTGCTAGTTAGACTTCAGTGTTATGACTCCAGGAAAATCTCCAGTTTCAACTCTGGAAAATCTAAAAATCTTTCGCCTCTTAGCAGGTCTCTACTATTTCTTCCTGACCTCACCAAACAACCATGTCATCAGAATCGAGCAAAAAAAGGAAGCCCAAAGTGATTCGAAGTGATGGAGCTCCAGCTGAAGGGAAGCGCAATCGTTCTGACACTGAGCAGGTGAGTTTAGCCAGGGCTGCCATGCTACTGAGAAATTACAGCTTGTGGCCAGGCACCTGGCTGTGTGTTTATAGCACCTGAGGGTCACGGGGACAACCTCCCAGGTGGCCTCTGTTTAACAAGGGACCCAGAATTCACTTGGCTCTACAAAGCCTGAGTATCCATATCAGTTGTAGCTGCAGCATCCCAAGGCCAACAAGCCTATATTGGACATGCTTAGTGATTAAATAAAGAATGCATTTGAGTATGGTGTGTGTTTCCAGTTTTTCCTGATGATCAGAAGGCAGTCCATCTGCAGCATGCTACTTGTACTTTGGAGATGTGGCATTCCTGGTCTACTACTGAGATAGTATCAGACCATCTACCTGCAAAACCTCTTCTGTGGTCTGAGAGCTCATGTGGTCAGCAGCTTCTCCTTTTGCTATTTCTCTGTTCTTAAATCTGTCAAGCTGATTTATTACTTAGCTGTTTTGATTATTTGGTTGGTTATGTTTTGTTTGTTTTTAAAACTAGAATAGGGAAACATACTAGCTCAAATTTAAATAAAAAACGAAACTTTCCTCAGATTTAGGAAATCAAAATTGATGAAGAGGCTTACCTTTTTGGGGGCATTGATCCTGACTCTTTTTTTAATTGAGGTATAACTGACATATTAACATGTTAGTTTCAAGTATACAGTAAAATGATTCATTATTTGATATATTGTGAAATGCACCACAGTAAGTTTAGTTAACTTCTGTCACCATACATAGTTACAAAATTTTTTTTCTTATAAATGAGAACTTTTAAGATCTACCCTCGTAGCAGCTTTCAAATATGCAATACAGTATTATTAATTATTAACATTCTATTAAAGAGATGTGTTCTGTTTACTCCAAAGGGTAGGAAACCAATTATGATATTTTAGTCATTGCTAAAAACTTGATTTGACCATCTGAACACCCATCTATAGGAACTTTGTTAAATTAATTCTGGTTTATCTTTATTGTAGATTGTTTATCAAGCAACCATTTTGATGGAGAACTGTACTTACTGGGATGGAAAATTGCATTAAACAGCATGGACAATATGATTTCATTTTGTTAGAAAATAAAATTTGTATTTACCCACAGTATTAACAGTATTTCTGGCTAGGAGGTGAAATTACAGGCCATTCACTAAGCATCAATACTTTATATCAGAAGGGAGGAATTATTTTTCATTTTGAAAAGCAGAAAAACAGTTGATTTGAGGACCAGACCCTTTGTGGATCTGCTTTCAGGCTTCATTATTACTGATCTCAGCCCATGTCCCTGGTCCTGACTGGGAGACTTTTACTCTCTACTCAAGGCCTGTATCCTTGCCTCCACAGGAAGGTAAATACTACAGTGAGGAGGCTGAGGTGGACCTGCGGGACCCTGGAAGAGACTATGAACTGTACAAGTACACATGCCAGGAGTTGCAGAGACTCATGGCTGAGATCCAGGACCTGAAGAGCAGGGGAGGCAAGGATGTGGTAAGGAGTGGACTGAACGAACATGAACTTGGTGGGTCTGCACGGATGGGCCTGTTTTGTACCTACTAGAGTGAGCCCTTCCTGATCTTGGTCTCCTGTCCTAGCTGTGAGTAGGTAGTTGGAGCCTGGGGGCTCTGGAGACCTGTTTGTTAATTTATTGGAACTTCTCGTCACCACCCAATCGCCAATTACAGTAATGAAAGTACAGGATAATTAATTTTTTCCATTACTATAATGTGATAATTTACCCAACTAATATTTATTAAGTGCTGAGCAATTTGCTGGGAGTTAAGAAATGACAGCACATGTAAATTCCCTTGCTGTTACAAGGATGGATATGTACAAGTAAATCGTAGAGACCAAAAATGAAATTATTAATACTAAATGAATATACAAGGCTTCTGGGCAGAGAAACTAAACAGTGTGACTACAAACTAGTTGGATAAGTTCAAAACAAAGCAAAACAACCCATATTTTTCCAGGAATCTCACTTATTTGTGTGTATACTGGCCAATATTGTTGAGGTTATTAAATCTTACCTCTTTAAGGTAGTCAAGCCTTACAGCTGTAATTCTGCTATTTTCATTTAAATTATTCTGCAGTGCTGTTGATAGAGGTTAGATGTGTGGCAGGGCGTTGCTGTTATTTGGACCTATGTGCGCAGCATGTAGCACCAGATACTTGCTCTATGTTCAATGCCTGCCTGTTTCTTTGGTCAAAGCCGAACTTCCTTTTTCCCCCTGAGAATCTTAAACATTTCCCCTGTACAGTCGGTGTCTTATTTTGGAGCTGAAGGAAGCTGAGCCAGCACCCATTATCGAGATGTTTACCAGGTCCTCTTTGCCCACAGGCAGGTGAGATTGAAGACCGCAGGATCCAGAGCTGTGTGCATTTCATGACTCTAAAGAAGCTGAACCGATTAGCCCACATCAGGTTGAAGAAAGGAAGAGATCAGACCCACGAGGTAGGAGTTGAGAAGTTTACCCCTCCTTCTCCCTCCTCCTTGTCCCCTTCTCAAGCCCCTTTACCCTTTTTTCTGAGTTTGCTGCCACTGTGCTCTGCTCTGCCCCACCCCACCTGACTTGCCCCACTCACCACCTCTGACCTTCTCCTTTCAGGCCAAGCAGAAAGTAGACGCCTATCACCTGCAGCTCCAGAACCTGTTGTATGAGGTGATGCACCTACAGAAGGAGATCACCAAATGTCTGGAGTTTAAGTGAGTTTTGGAGGACAGGGCTTTGGCGAGGTGATCTGTTGGTAATGGCTTTTTCCTATGTAGCTCTGTGTGAGCTAGTCTCTTTAAAAAGAAATCAGATGATTATGGAGACTGTAGGACCTGGGAGGACAGTGAGATCACTTTGGGAAATTTGGAAGCAGTAGTTTCAGACTGCACAAGGAAACTCAGAAGCCTGTCTGACCCCTTTGAGTATTGAGCTCTGTACCTGGTCAAAAGTAATTGTCTCTCCTTTCTAGGGGCCTTTAATTACCAGTTTGATTCTTGGGCACCTTGTACGGGAGCAACTCACTTCCAATCATGTCCTTTTAACCTTTTGGCCCAGTTTTCATCTCTAAAGTTCCAACAATTCTTTTTTTTCTTTTTTTTTTTTGGCTAATCCTCACCCAAGGATCTTTTTCCCATAGGTTTTTTTTTAGAGAGAGTGGAAGGGTACAGGGAGAGACAGGGAAAGAGAATCATCAATGTGAGAGAGACACATCAATTGGTTGCCTCTCACACGTGCCCTGACGGCCCAGGGATCAAGCTTGGCACCGGGGTATGTGCCCTTGACCGGAACCAAACCCACAACCCTTCAATCTGCAGGCCAACGCTCTAACCACTGAGCCAAACTAACTAGAGCCCAACAATTTTTTTTTTTATTTTATTCAAACCAGCAATTCATTTTTGCAAATGAATTGGAACCTGAATTTTTTGCAACTTAGTTGCCTTCAGGTGAACAAACTGGAGTTTGGCAGTGTTATTTTTAAAATGTAATAATGCCTCTTGGCAAATCCAACTGATTGGAAGGGAGGAAGGAGCAGAAGAAGGGAAGGGAATGTTCTTGCTTGGTCCGACCTATTTGAGCAAACTGAAAGGTTTTATTTGTAATAAACTTGGGGTGTGTGGGCACATTAGACATTGGTCTATTGTATTTTTAATGATGCTGATTTTTAAAATACGCTTTTATTGATTTCAGAGAGAGGAAGGGGGAGAGAGAGAGAAACATCAGTGATGAGAGTCATTGATCAGCTGCCTCCTGCATGCCCCCTACTGGGGATCAAGTCCACAACCCGGGCATGTGTCCTGACCAGGAATCGAATCACGATCTTCTGGTTCTTGGGTCGACGCTCAACCACTGAGCTACGCTGGCAGGGCGATAATGCTGATTTTTGAGAGGCATCTTTATCTACTCCACAAATTCATCACATAATAATACTTAAATATATAGAGGTGAAATCCACATGAGGTCTGTATCTGAGTTAATTAGTGTTGTACCATTGTCACCTTCCTGATTTTGACTTTGTACCCAGGGGAAGGGTACATGGAAGAAATAAACTCTCAGTGCTCTTTTTGAAACATTTTGTGTGTCTTAAATTATTTAAAAATAAAAAAGGTATAAAAACAAAGTAAAAGACTGTGATGCCCCAACATGTAACCATTGCTCAGATGAAAGCTGACAAACCCAAAATACAGCCAAACTGGGCCCATGGAGTGGACAATGGCCACAGTGGGCCCTGGAGTGGGACAGCCTGAATTCAGATCTCAGCTCTGCCACTTACTAGCTGTGTGTGACCTTGAGAAAAGTGCTCAACTCTGGAAGCCTCCATCTCATTTGAAAAATAAAGATAAACATTCCTGTTTCACAGTTATTGTGAGAATTAAGGGAGGCGAGGATGACATACAGTGGGTGCTTAATCTATGGTAGCTGCTCTTACTTTTACATCATTTGTTCATGACCTGTCCACTACTATGTTAATGCAGGAAATCGTATTGGATTTCTTTTATACATATGTGTCACTATACATGCGACAATTAAAGCCTCTAGATCTTCTTCTCTGGTTATGCCATGCTAGATCTTCCGCATCCCGTGCTTATACAGTTAATGTTATGAACTTTAAAATGTAGACCCTTGCGTTAAATGATATTTCTTGGTTTTAACCTGACATTCTATGTCTAGACCATAGTGTTTTCATTTGACCTTTTAAGCTCTTAGCTCCCTTGCTCAGCTTGGAGACATCTGTAAGTGTAATAAGCATCCCTTCCAGGTCTTTAGCTAATTCATGGATAAAAAGGTTGGACAGCATGGATAAGTATCCTGTGGCATGTCACCAACTACCTCTCTTCAACTGAAATATCTAATAAGCATTTGCTGAGAAGACTGGATTCCATGTCCCTGAGTAGCTGTAGACCTGGGCTAAGTGGGCATACATGGGGAGGAACTGTGGGCCTACTTAAGCCCATTTGGGTTCCTAAGAACAACAGTTTGACATTTGTTTTTGTCTGTAGGTCAAAGCATGAAGAAATTGATCTGGTCAGTTTAGAGGAGTTTTATAAAGAGGCTCCTCCAGATATCAGCAAGGCTGAAATCACCATGGGAGACCCTCACCAGCAAACCCTTGCACGTCTGGATTGGGAGCTGGAGCAGCGGAAAAGGTAGCGTTTCCTCTTACCTGACCTTGTTAACCTGTGCAGACACGGACCTGTGCAGTACTGTCCCACAGGGGACAGTACTTGGTTATGATCCACAATCAGACAGCAAAGCTCTGTGCAACCAGTAGAATAGTCTCTAAGACCAAATCCTATTTTGTGATTAATTCACACCTGATAGTTGGCACATCTGCTCTGTTTTTCATTGGAGAAGCAGCTGTTTTTATTCCTTGCCTTTTTCTGTTATAGAAGATATTCTGTGCCTTTGGTGCACATTATGAATTTAATAAGCACTAAGTCTGATCATTAGGGAATGCATGTCAATTTTTAGCAGATGGAGTTGGCCTGTCACTTCCTTGTGCCCCGGGCACAGGCTAAACTATGAGTGTTGCATTCCTGTGGCATTGGTCCGGCATCCTCCCCACCCTGCCCCACTCAGGCCACTCTGTGGTCTCATTTGGGTCCTGTAGCTGTTAGGTCCACATGTTTGTGAAAGTTTGGGTCTTGGCTTCCAGAGGCAAGAAATGGAGCAGATGCCGGCACAGGGGTATTCCCTAGAGGTTATGGACAGAGCCTCCGGAGCCAGGCAGGCATGGATTCAGAGCCCAGCTCTGTGCTTGCTCTTAACTGGATGACGTTGGGCAAGTTACCTCCCTCCCTGAGCCTTCATTTCCTCCTTTGGAGATAAGAGTCCCTGTCTTCCAGTGTTTTTATAAGGATTAAATGCAGTAATGCTTATAAAGAGTCCTTCAAAGTGCCTGGCACATAGTAAGTGGTAGGTAAACATTAGTTCATCATGTCTGCTATTATTAGGTGGACTTGGACAGTGAGCAGGTATGTCAGGATATCCCTGGAAAGCATCTGGTGACAGTGCTCTGTCCTTTCCCAACAGGTTGGCGGAGAAGTACCGAGAGTGCCTGTCCAACAAGGAGAAGATCCTTAAGGAGATTGAGGTGAAGAAGGAGTACCTGAGCAGCCTCCAGCCTCGCCTGAACAGCATCATGCAGGTGTGGGCCTCCCCTGGGCCCCCACTCCAGCAGCCATGTCTCCCTTTGGGTGTTACCCTAATCTGTGTTAGAGTACAGTGTAGGATGGTCCTGGCTGAATCCTACCCAGCTGATACGATAAAGTTTCACCCTGAGAAGAAGAAAGTTGGCCAGGTGGATTCGGGAACATATACACAAATTTACTTGAGGCATTTTCTTTTCACCCAGAGCCTCATCCGGATAAAACACTTTTGCAAATTCTTTAGTTTACCCCCTGCATGGTCTTTACCCCCTGCATAGCCCCCGAAGTCTCCAGGCATGCTTCTGCGGATGTCTATTAGATCCCCCTAACTGTACCTCAGGGGCAGATCCTCAGCAGATCTACTCACTCTGAAAAGAACTTTACTTGTATTTGAAAGCCATTAGGTACCCTAGGAGGAAAAGTCCCCACTTTACCTGTAAAGTGTAATGTCTTTCTATATAGGTGACCTGATTTTGTTTTCTTTGTGAAGCCAGATTTGGTCTAAAATCCTTATAGTTTTATGAAGCAGGGTAAATGGTTAATATAAAGGAACTTTGCAAAAGGACCCTGGAGAAATTATAAATTCTCTTTCCTGGATTTGGCAAGATCTACATTTCCTCCCTTCAACTCTAGGCATAGAATTAGAATTGTTAACAGAAATATCCTTAGTCGCATTTTATAATGAGACAAAAAGAAAATGGAAACGAAGAGTTTGGATTGTACTTAATTTTTCTGTTAAAAAATATGCTCTGCGTATATTTAGGTCTGTAAAGTGATTTGTACTGACTTACAGAAATTTCCTCCAGCATTCTGGGAAAGTTCTGATACAGTTGATTCTTTTTATATTGACCTTTTATCCACTTGTTAGTTCTGTTAGCTTATCACATATCACTTTCATAAATAAAAAACTATATATGGTAACTAAGCAGCCACATGTTTGTATGTGGACTGCCGAAAATGGAAAAATAAAAATCCTACCTTTATTGCATGCAGGCTTCCCTCCCAGTGCAAGAGTACCTGTTCATGCCTTTTGACCAGGCTCACAAGCAATATGAGACGGCCAGACACCTGCCACCTCCCCTCTATGTCCTCTTTGTCCAGGCCACTGCATATGGGCAGGCCTGTGGTAAGTATGGGGGCCGGGTGAGGAAGAGGGGCTGTGGGAGCAGCAGCTGTGGCTGATTGAGTCATTTGGAAGCACTGCCTGCTGAGGAAACCTCCCAGGCCTTGCTCAGAGCCCTCAGGTGACAAATGCTGCCTTCCCTCTGTGTCGCCCAGCATGGCTGTTTTGACTAGCTGGCCTGAGGCTGAACTAACTTGAGGGGTATTTCAGACGGTTGGCTTTGAGCCTTTGATGAACCTGGCTGGTCAGCTGTTGGGTGCACTGCCCAGACAGCCCAAAGCACGCTTGGCAGGTGGATCGGCGCCTCTTGCTCTGCTTCAGAGAAAGGGCTTGGTGAACACAGGTCTCAGCCAGCTGTCCTAGGCTTTTCCATGCCCCAAACAGGCTGCATGTCATTATGGTGAATTACCCAGTGAGAGGATGTGTCCTCATTAAACTTAAGGGCAGCCCTTTACTCCACTAGGGTTTTGAGAGGTTTTTGGAGACCCTGCCTCCTGCCCTAGTGCAGCTTTCACCCAGCACCTAGAGTTTTCTTCCCCACCGCCACCAGTGCATGCCTTTCCTCCCAGCCACAGAAACCAACACATTACTGTCTCTCTTCTTATGTCTTCTTGGTCCTTCTGGTCCTTTCCTTTGCCTTTGTTCTCCCTCCTGTTTCCATCGTCAGCTCATATGAAATCCTCCCAGCCCCCTAGACAGGGTGAGTAATTTTCTTTTGTGTTTAAACCCCAGCCTGTTTCCATTCTCATTTTACTGTAAAATTTCAAGACTGAATTCAAAAGTTTGCCAGTGGTTGATGGGGGCATCCAGCTTATTTGGAGTAAGGTGTGATGGTTCATGCAGGGTTGTCAGAGAAAGAGGGTAGTGGTCAGCCACCTGGGAATATTATCTCTGTGACCTGCCACTTGGGGGAGGTTTGCCATCCCTCAATACCATTGGGCAAATCATTTCAGGCTTCTGTGACTATCTAATCTGTATACTCTTTTGAATGGAGCAGGAGGAGTGGTGGTCTGACCTCTCAGCCCTACACCCATAGGACTCCACAAAGGCAGGTCCAGGCATCACTCAGGAAGATGTCAGGCCTGGTGCATGGAACAGGCCTCTTAGCTTTTTACTTGAGACGCCTAGCTCAACTTGAATAGATGTGGTCTTGAATAGACCTGAGCTTGATGCCAAGCTCAAGTTGAATAGACCTAGCTTACCTATTTCCTGGCTATTGTATCAAACTTCTCTAAGCCTTAATTTTCTCATCTGTAAATGCATAAAATGTATAATAATAGTATTGCTTCTATAGAGTTGTTGTGAAGATTAAATTTTTTTTAATATGTTTTCATTGATTTTAGAGAGGAAGGGAGAGGGAGAGAGAGAAACATCAGTGTGAGAGAGAAGCTTCAGTCGGTTGCTTCTGCTTGCATACTGACTAGGGAACCTGCAACCTGGGTATGTGCCCTAATCGGGAATCAAACACGTGACCTTTGGGTGTACGGGATAATGCTCCAACCAACTGGGCCACACCAGCCAGGGAGAGTAAGGTTTTTTAAAATATAATTTTATAATTAAAATTATAAGCATTTGCTCATTCATTATAGATATCACCTCACCATCCAACTGGGCAGCTATCATTTGTCACATTCTGCTTTCATAAATGCAGAAATGGGGGCTCAGAGCTGCATCATAACTTTCCAGGTCACATGTTTGGGAATGGGAACCATGACTCAGGCCTAGGACTGAAATGCAGGGTCCAAGTTTCTGCCCACTGTCCTCCTGCCTCCCAGTTAAATGTGACAGTGCCAGCCAGGCGCTTGGTGCAGGGTGGAATAGAGAATGAGCACGTAAGTGAAAGCCGATGTTTCCAGGGTGTGGCAATCATGGGCTTCTGCATGAGAACCTTTAAGACAGTTGGTGGAAGAGAACCGTATAGCTTTAGGCCCAAGGTTGGGATTTCTGTACCTTGGTATAAACCTGAAAAGAGAGATGTTCACCACTAGTCTCAGGTGATACTTGTCCAGGAATCTACACTTTGGGTTCTTTGTTCTCAGTCAGTGATGCAAAAAAAAGGCTTAAGTTTCCCACCTGTTTCTCTTCATCTGGAGAAAGGGCTTTTGTCTGCCCACCCCTGGCCAGTAAGGAGCTGTGACAGACAGCAGAAATGCAGTCCCAGAGCTGGCCTTCTGTGTAGCTTGGCTCCTTCCCCCAGCGGCTGTCATACAAAGCTTTTTCTTGCTCCCAGATAAGACGTTGTCTGTGGCGATCGAAGGCAGTGTGGATGAAGCCAAGGCTCTGTTTAAGCCTCATGAGGAGTCCCAAGGTAATGTGCTGGTCAGGATCCTCCCCCAAGTCTTCTGTAGCTGGTTCCAGGAACACTAAGTCGCCACCCAAGGGCAGTGCTGTTCCTTTGAAATTAACTGTACTAGTTGAGTTTAACAGAGCTTGACTTCATGTGCAGGGGTAGACAGGGAAAGCACTGCCTTTGGATTTCAGCCCTGCCACTCACTAGCTCACTGATTCCAGGGCAGCTCTTTAACATTTCTGAGCCTCAGCTTAGTCACCCATCAAAACAGAGTAGTAATACCTCATGTAGAATTATGTGAATTAAACAAGGTCATGCATACAAAAGCCCTTAGCATCATCCTTAGCACATAGCAACCACTCAAATTACATGAGCTGCTATTGTTATTTATATTACTGTTATTGCTACCACCACTACCAGTGGAGGGGATTGTGGTCCATAGGATAACATCAAAAAAAAACTACAACACTAGAAGATGGATGGTGGGATTATGGGTCATTTCTCTTTTTTCCTTGCATCACCATGTTTTTTATACTGACTATGAAGGAACAAACTAATTTATTATTCTAAAAAAAACATTTATAAATGACGCAGAGTCTGGGCCCCTTTACGCCCTGGTTTGAGGTGCTTTAGGGAGCATTGGGAGCCCCCTCCGCTCTAGATGCCTTTTTTCTGTGGCTGCAGATGACGAGAGCGACTCGGATGCTGAGGAGGAGCAGACCACGGTGAGAGCCGCTTCCTCTCGTGGGCGTGCCAAGCAGCTGCACTGGGGCCTGCTGGTTGGCAGGTGCCATCCTTCCTAGAGGCAGAAGAAAGGTTTGAAAGAAAGGGCTGCTGGGCACCTTGCAACTGAGTAGCTGAAGCATCAGGTCCCAGGCAGCAATGCTGAGGCCCTGGCCGGTAGGGAGAAGGAAGGGAGAGATTTGTATGACCAGTGCTCATCATTTTCATTCTTTCCTTTGTCCAGAAACGCCGGCGACCCACACTGGGAGTTCAGCTGGATGACAAACGCAAGGAGATGCTGAAGAGGCACCCACTGTCTGTCATGCTGGACCTGAAGTGCAAAGGTCTGGCTCCCCTTGTTCCGGGAATCCCATAGCACTTGAGAGTTCAGCCAGGCACAGATGCACAGGTCCAGCAAGCCAGAGGCCTCTTTGCCCAAGAACAGAATCTGGTTTCATATTTCTCTATTTATCCTCATTGTTTTGCATGGAATCTGTTTGATTTTTCCCCCCCCTAAGTCATACCATACCAGAGAGAGACATAAAGGATGCATAAAACTACGCCTCTTTCTGAATTTTAAAAGTCAGATACACAGAACAAGTTGCAAGAGTATGCAGGTTCTGAGTAATTTGACCAACATGCTTAATTTAATAAGTAGGACTTTGTGTTCTGCAGAGAGTATATGTTTTGGAATTGGTTTGGTATGGATAAAGGAGCACATGATAAAGCATTCAGCAGTGTAAGAGTTGTCAGTCAAATATAAGTCTCTCATCCAGACTCCCAGACTCTGGTCCTTGGTCTTACTTCCAGGGACAACGGTTGTGACATGTTTCTTATGTCTGGTCTAGAAATAGTCTATGCATTTAGAAGCTATTATACAAGTGTATATTTGTTCTCTCCTCCCCTTATCTTTTACACAAATGGAAAATTACTCTACACACTGGTCCTTTCTTTGCCTTTAAAAAGCATTTTGCTTTGAGGTAATTTTAGACTCAGAAGAGCTGTAATGATAATACATTGAGTTCCCATAGGTGCTTTACTGACTTCCCTGAATTTCAACATCTTTTTTAACCACAGTACAATTATCAAAGCCAATGTTGATTTTATTGGTACAACACTGTTAACTAAACTGCAGGATTTATTCAGGTTTCCCTGGTGTTCCCTTTAATGTCCTTTTTCTGTTTCAAGATCCAGTTCAAGATCCCACATTGCATTTAGTCATCATGCCCTTTAGTCTTCACCAGGCAGTGACAGTTCCTTGGTCTTTGCTTGTCCTCCAAAACCTTGACACTTCTGAAGACAAGGTTTATTTAGTATGTAGGAAAACTCTCAATTTGGGTTTGGTGGATTTTTTTTCTGGTTAGACTGAGGTTATGGATTTTGGAGAGGAAGGCCACAGGCGTCTTCATTGTCACATCATATCGGGGTACATGGTATCATTGTGTCTTATTACTGGTGATGTGAACCTGGATCCACTTGGGAATCACTTAATCACTCCCTTTTCATATTGTGTTTGTTAGAAGCAGAGTCTGAAAGTCCAGCCCACACTCAAGGGGAGGGAAATGGAGCTCCACCTTTTGGAGAGAAGAGTAGCAAAGAATTTGTAGACACCACTTTTTTCCCCTCTATGTTAAATTGCTATTGAGTTTTTGTTTTTATAGTAAAATATCGTAGTCTTATTGACTTCCCTTTCTATAAAACTTTGGCTCTGCTCTTATGTTTAACGCATACATTTTTTTTCTTCCCATCCAGATGACAGTGTGCTTCATCTGACTTTCTACTATCTCATGAACCTCAACATCATGACAGTAAAAGCCAAAGTGACAACCGCCACGGAGCTGATCACCCCCATCAGTGCAGGGTACTGAGCAGGCGTGGCTGAGAGTGGGACAAGGGGGGGGCTGTGATGAGAACCTTGGCTCTGAGCTGCTCTCAGTTTCTTTCTCATCTGGCTCTGAGAGGTTCGTGGCTACTTTGACTTCTGTTGTCACGTCCAGTTGGCCTAGAAGTCCTGGTACATCACTGGTATTTAGAAAGCATTCACCAACTTTGATTGGTGAAGTCCTCCTCCTACATAGCAGATGGTGAAAGTGACTACGGCATATTGCAAATTGAGCAGGTGGGGCAGAGTACCAGCTTTTTACAACCAGTGAAAAGAGTGTGAGTGTAAAAATGGGATCTGGCAGACATTGTCAGGTTGGCAGGTTTAAGCTGCTCTCTCTTTCCCTTTTCTTTTTCTCTCACAAGGTGCTGAGATTTTCACTTTATAGCTCAGCTTAATCCTAGATTGTCCTTACCTGGGCAGTGGGAAGAGGACTGTGGTGGGCCCTGTGGGGTTTTTGAAGAGGGTGAGCAAAGGCACAGTAACGATGGCCATAGGTCGAGCATCCCTAGGAAGCCCTTGATCATGGCAGTCTTGTTCCACAGCCAGAAGCAGGAAGAAGGGAGGAGGATCTGGAGGGCCTAAGGGTGAAATAGCATCACTTACAAGAACACACCTTCCCCTGCCCTTACCTGGTCTCACTGAGTCCTCATGTCAGCTATAGAAAGACCACTGAAGGAGGCACAGATCTGGTGCTTAATGGGGCAGGGCTCTTTTCATGACTGCCTGATGTTCTACCCTGCACTTATAGTTCATGCCCCTGAGTGTTTGACAACCCATGGGCACTCTGGATAAAGTTGACCCCATTTCCACCTGACCCCAGCAGAGGGAGCCCAGGGCTGGCTTCTTCAGAGCACCCAGTCACACTGCGCAGCCAGAGCTCTTGGTCCAGTGAGCAGCTTTAGGGCTCCAGGAGGCCCTTGGCCAGGGCAGATCTCCTTGTCACAAGCATTCTGCCTACTCACCTCTCAGATGCCCTAACAGGATTGCAAGCTGGTCTCAGAGCATGCTTAATTAACTCCAGCTCCTCCCTAAGGCTGTGCAAGTGCAGTGACGGGGGCAGTGCTGCAGACTGGTTATAAACTCTGGCAAGTCCCAGGTCTGCCACTTACAGCTCTTGTGTGCACCTTTAGCCAAGTTCCCCCCCATTCTGTGGTTGTTAATTATAATATCCCCTTCTAGGGAGGGAGCTTGTGAAAGTTAGGTCAAGTGTTTAGCACAGTGAAGCACTTTGAAATGACAGCTGTGTTTATCATCATCAACTCATTTAACTCTCACAGTAGCTCTACAAGGTGAGAAAACAGACCTGTGTACCACTGTACTGTACTACTGTCATTGCCAGGTGGGCCCTGGCCCCCAAAGAAGGAGGAGACACAAAAGAAAACACCCTGAAACCAGGATTGGATCTTTATGGGCCATCAGCTGTTGTCTAGCTCATCCCCTTATTGTACAGATGGAGAAACAGGTCCAGTGGGCATATGGTTATGGAAGCCCTAGGCCTAGAGCTCCAGACTCCCAGTCCAGAGGCCTTTGCTCAATTACAGGCTGCTCTGGCTATTGGAGACACCAGCCTGGTGTCAGGTTTTGTATAATTTCCTTTTTTTTTTTTTTAATGTAATTATAGCATTACTCTTAATTCCTTAATATCACCCAATAACCGGTCAGAGTTCAAGTTTCCCTGTTTTTCTCATAAGTGTTTTTTGTTAGTTGTTTTGTTTTGTTTTTACAGTTTGGGTTTGACCCAGGATCTCTCATATGTTGCAATTAGGTGAAGCTTCTTTAAGGCTCCTTTTCATCTGAATGTCTCTGCTACCTTTTGATTTGTTGAGGAAATGTGTTGTTTGCTCTATAGGTTTCCCCCAGGATTAGATTTTGATGATTGCATCCCTGCAGTACCATTTTATGGGTTACTCCTTCCCCATATATTTCATGTAAATTGTAGTTAGATTTAGAGGCTTGATGAAATTCCATTTCGATTTTTTGGAGGGGGACAGGGGCAGGCAGGACTGAGTCATAGACACTGGGTTTCCATCAGGAGACCAGGGCTGTCTATTTTTGCAGTGTTAGCAATGTTGATGACTATTGCCAGGATCTATTAATTTGCTAGGGAATTAATGTTGTTAATACAGACATTTTAGTCAGAATTATACCAGCCCTGCTGAATTTTCCTCAAGAAATTATTTTCCAGAATGATCTCCATTGGGGCATTTTAATTCATTAATTTTTCATTAAGACATTAAACTATTTTTAATCATTTTCCATTTCTATTTTACCAAGGTTTTTTTAAATCCTTTTTCCATTAAAATTTTATAACAAAGGTTTGACTAATTGAATAGCTTTTTGTTTTGGTGTTGTATTTTCATAACTATATATAGCTTCCCCTTTTATGTCTCTTGTTTTTACCAAAGTCAGTTGTCTAGAGACACGTTACAGACTTGATTCTTCTGTCAAAGTTTTGTCAGTTACAAACCCTTTCATGTGCAGTTTTAGCTGTTCTTTTTTATTTGGATTGATTCAGTCATTCAATCTATTAGTAATAGTCACTAAATATTGGCCAAAAGACTGGCAATTCGTATTGATTTTCTAGCCAGTTTTCCACGTGAGGCAGTGAAAGGGGCAGACCCTTGCAGGAGCCGGGGGCAGGCACATACAGAGAGACTCTGGGAGAGACAGAGAACAGAGAAGACCCAAAAGATGCCACTACCCCAGTATTAAGTCCCGAAAGCATGCCAGGGTCTCAGAGCAGCAGGATGGGATTCAGAGCTGCAGGATCAGCTCTTCTGCTTGAGTAGCTCCTGATGCTATTCCTGAAAAAATAGAGAACTCTGCTGGTTGAGGGAAAGAATGGGACCTGTTGTCCTTTGTGATCAGATTACTCTATTATCCTCTCCTCCCCCAATCTCCTCTGCTTGTCACGTTTAATTACAGTCTGAGCCCTGACCGTTCCAGGTGGGTGGCAGTGGCGTCGCTGTCTATCTGCTTATAGCGCTGGGTCACCTTGTCTCCAGTGCAGGTGGTAATGTCTTTTTCTGGGAATACAAAGGGGACCTTTTCTGTGAGTAGCATGAAATTTGGTCAAAGTGATAAACACAGCACCAAAGTTGCACACTTTCTGGGATAGAAATGAATCTCTACTCCTATAAAAATTATGATTATTTCTATTTCCAATGTCATGGGGCTTTGTTCCCCTTAGGTAAGGCCCTGGTCACCATATAACCCTTGAAAGGGTAGGTATTTCTTTTTAATTTGGTGGATAAGAGTACTATCTTTGATTAGACTGCAAATCCCAGCTCCACCACTTACTAGCAATGTGATTTTGGACAAGCCACGCCTTTGAAAGCCTTGAGCTTCTCCTTTATAAAATGGAAATGATAATATTCTGAACCTCATAGGGTTATAAAGATCCAGTGACCTCAGGCATATAAAGCATCTGACTCACAGGAAGCATTCAATAAGTGGTGGCATTGATCATCAGTGAGAGGCGACATTACCATCCCCAAATGCCCAAGTCGAGACTAGGTGTTGGACAGCGTTCTCACTGCAGTCTTCTCCCTTTCCAGTGACTTGCTATCTCCTGACTCAGTCCTGAGCTGTTTGTATCCTGGAGATCATGGAAAGAAAACTCCAAATCCAGCCAATCAGTACCAGTTTGATAAAGTTGGGTGAGTCAGCAGTGTTTTCTCCTCTCTCAGCCTCTCTGCTTCTGAGTTTCTCTGGGGGCTCAAACCCAATGCTGGCGAGCTGGTAGGGCCAGCAGCCTCTCAGAGGGTAAGGGGACAAGTGCTGGAAGGAGAGAGTGCTGTATCTAGAGAAGGGAACATGTGACCTTTCCTGCTTATGAGGCAAGTGGAGTTCATGGACGGGTGGGAAAGGGTGGATCAAAACTTGGGGAACATGATATAATAAAAGTATTTAACATTTTAATTCTCTGAGGATTAAAAACATTTAAAAATATTTTATAAATTGGTAAACCTCTAAGGAGATCATGTGTACTTTGTTTTTATTGAGATTTGCTTATAAATTAAGGGCTGTTTGGGGAAAAAGAGAAAAGTGGACATGGGAGGGATGAAATTTATATTAGGGAGCTGATGAAGTCAAGAGGCTTTGCTGGCAGCCTGGCTGGGTACTGGCCTGTTTAGGGTGGATGGGAGGAAGGCTATATCCTGGGACCCATTGTAGAAACGACTTACAAAATCATTTTATTCTTTTATGCAGCATCCTGACTTTGAGAGACTACGTACTTGACCTGGGTCACCCCTATTTGTGGGTACAGAAGCTGGGTGGCCTCCACTTCCCCAAAGAGCAGCCCCAGGTGTGTACACTGATCCTGTCTCCTTAGCTGGAGAACTCTACCTCCTTTCTATCCATACAGACTCCATAAAGGCTTCTGATGGCTTTTGGGGGCTTTAAACTAGCAGAATGCTTTCCCTTCAGGATATGATCTGTCCTCCCTCCACTCAGGACACTAAAATGTCCAAAGCCTACGAGTGTTTATGTACCTTTGCATTCTCCCTGAGTCTAGAAACCCTCTAGATCAAAATAACTTGGGTCCTTGCTCTGGGTGCAGCACAACTCTAGGCTCTGCTGCCCCTTGATCTTGTGTACAAAGAGCCCCAAAATGAAGTGTAAGCAGAGCCCCAGGGGATCTGGCACCTTAGCAGAAGCTTTCCTTTTCTTAGGACCTGGCCACAGCCTCTTGAGAACCCAGCAGCTTGTGTCGTTCCTGCTGGGACTCAGCATCTGGCCTGTCATAGCAGGTAAACCCTGCCTTTCCCATAAGGTGCCCGCCTCAGGGCATGGGTGATCTTGGCTGCCACTGGAAGGCAGGTTGTAGGAGAGAGGCAGTGCCTGGAGGAAGGGATCAGGAGCACTCAGGTGTGCCCCTTGCTGTCATCCACAGCACACGGTGATTGCTGACCACTCACTGAGCTCCAGCCACATGGAGACCACCATGAAACTGCTAAAGACCAGAGTGCAGTCCCGCCTGGCCCTCCACAAACAGTTTGCATCCCTGGGTAAGCTCGTGTTAGGGCTGTGGCTTGAGAGCCATTCAGACAACATGGACAAAAACAACTTAGCCCTTCATTAAGTTGTCTTGAATCATGATGACAAATTAAAGAGGGCTGGATTTTGGGCTTTTGTTGAGCAGAGGTGGTGTCAGGGCCACTGGAAAGGGCTGCAGGCCCATCCAAGCAGAGATCTGAGCTCCCCTCAGGGTCATCAAGGCTGTTCCAACTCACAGAGCCTTCTGGTGGCACAAGTTGGTCAGGAGCAGCTCATCCTAAATTAGTGTGTGTCAGACTGGTGTGCCTTCTGCAGATATATAGTGGAAATCCAATTCATGGCTCATGGAGCCTACCTTAAGCTTCTTTGAATACAGCTATACAGGGATCCACCCCTCATCCTTCCCCTGAGACCTACTGAGCTAATACCCTCCAGGGTAAGGCTGAGCTCCTCTGTTTTTCATAAGCTCCCAGGTGATTCTGCTGAGGGCCATTGACCAAAGTGGTGGCCATTGGGGGCTTCTTTTCATTTATTCATTCAGTACATACTCGTCAGAGGCTTACTATGTATGTACAAGGCACTTGCAGGATAGTAAAGATTAAGATCTTTCTGATCTAACAGTCACTGTCAGGAAAGACATTGGGTTTTCAGGACCCATCTGTAGACCCTTCCCCTCTGGCTCAGTCTAGTGCTTCATGTGGACCCTGATCTCTCCAGGGCAGCATTGCTTGTCCATCAGGCCTTTCTCCCTGTCAGCATTGCTGAATTTGTTTTGTCTCAAGGTTGGATGATTGTCATCCTGGACAACGTTTACTGTGTTGGCATATTTGCTTATTGAAATGCCAGCAGGAATTTATGCTGGAGCAGTTCTCCAGCCTTTTTCCCTTAGAGGAACTGACACGGAACACTTCAATCTTTTCCTCCATCAAGGTCAGCTATGAAAACACAACCCTCCCGGCTATTGATCTAATTAACAGTCACTGCTGCAGAGGCACTGTCATTGGTTTTGGCTGCTGGGGGTTCTTGTTTTGCTTATCATTATTTGCATTAAGGATAAAGCACCGTGAATGCTGGTGCTGGGTCTGACCACAAGCACATAGCCCTGGATGAAGTCAGGTTGGTGTGCCTACATTCCTGGCACATGTTGACCTGGGCACCTACTGAGTGCCAGGTGTACCTGAACATTGGGTAGGGCCCTTTGAGCCCTCTATAAGATGGTAATTACCTAGCTGTGGCACCTGATTTCTACCTATGACACCACCTGTCTTGCTCTCTTTTAGAACATGGCATTGTACCAGTTACTAGTGATTGCCAGTTCCTCTTCCCTGCAAAGGTTGTGTCCCGCCTGGTGAAATGGGTGACGATTGCCCATGAGGATTACACGGTAGGTAAAAGAGTGACAGGTCACTGTTGCTGTCCTGGGGACCGCAGGCCCATGTCTCCTTTCAGTTCCTATTCCTCCACCAGAAGGGCAGGAGGTTTTAGAGGAGCCAGGAGTTCATTACTTGTCTGTGGTGATTTCTAGGAGCTGCATTTCACCAAAGACATTGTGGAGGCAGGACTGGCCGGGGACACCAATCTCTACTACATGGCTCTCGTGGAAAGGGGCACAGGTAATTTGTTCTGGTAACAGTGGTTCTAGGCAAGGGGAGTGGCTGAGAATAAAACATTCCTGAGAGTTGCCCAAGGGAAGGGAAAGTTCTGGAATCCTGCTGCAGGGACTTAGCAAATAGTACTGAATGTGAGAGCCACCGTTCGGTGAGGACTTGTTCTGCAACACGGTCATATATGTGCTTTATGTCATTTAATCCTTGTGACAGTCCTAGGAGTGGTAATATTCCCATTTTATAGGTGAGGAAGTCAAGGCTTAGTCACAAACCCAGTCTTACCTCTGACCCTGAGCTCCTAGCCCTTGGTTTTACTGCTCTCTAGAACCGGACATCTGTTCTACCCACTTTCACAGAAGGGCTGGCATGTCCCTGTCAGGTTGTGCAGTGCAGGGTGACAGGACCTTCCTCCCTCTCTGCAGTTTCTGTACTCTTTTTGGAGGCATATTTAGCCCATCAGTGGAGAGGATAAATGTTATGCTTTTGAAAATGGCAGACTTTCACTAGAATATGTTGAAAAATACAAATATTTTACGTAATAATTATGAACACAGCTTTGACATCAGGCAGTTCTGATTCCAGCCAGCATAGCTGCATTGCATCTGTTTGATTTTAAAGAAGTTTCCATCAGAGCCTATTTCTTTACATGTACGATGGGGATGATAGCGGCACCCATCAGAGTCATCCTTAGGGTGTAATAAAGTGCGCAGAGAGCTTAGCACAGCGCTTGGAAGTAAAGTACTCAGTGTTGGCTGTTAACAAGTGCTATGTAACAAAATATCCAAAAGTAAAAGGGACAGAATAGAGAAGATATATTTGACTGATATAATGGCTAATACATACTATTACTAAAAAAAGGTAGTAAGCCTTTACATGGGCAAATCTTTAGCTGGCTGGCAGATAAAGAAATGCCAGTTAAAACAAACTTCTGTCAGAGGAGCAAATAGAATTCAGGCAAACCCAGTGTGGACCAGACTCTGGGGAGTCCATGCATCTCTGCCTCCTTGGAGGGACCAGAGTCACAGGCATCACGTTCTGCAACCTGGCAGTTCCACTTTGGAGATTCCAGAACAAACATAAAAGTAAGGTTAGAACCAGAATGTGCCCTGAAGCACTGGGAATAGTATGGGACATCAGAGCTAGCCTTAGGGGTCCAATGGGGATGGTGCAGGGCTGACAAGTTCAGTCCCAGAACTGATTTTTCCTCCTTTCCCTTCTCAGCCAAACTCCAGGCTGCTGTGGTGCTGAACCCTGGCTACTCCTCCATCCCACCCATTTTCCAGCTCTGTCTGAACTGGAAAGGGGAGAAAACCAACAGCAATGATGACAATATTCGGGTAAGGACCTGCTGGGGGTAACAGGGAGCAGGTCCCTTTGGGGAGGTAGGCTGTGGCAGAACCTGCCACCGCTAAGGGCTTGGGCACTGGCATAATTCTTAGGACTAGGTATCTGCCAGGATTTATAGAATTTACTGGAGGCTGCATGATGTAGCAGAGGAAAGAGCCTAGACCCATCTCAACCAGTTACCTAGTTTGGGGTCCACAGGTTTCACCTCATTTATAAATTAGGGATAATATAAATACCTGCCTTGAAAAGTGGTTGCCTTGGGCTTCTGTGGAAACATGAATTGACTCAGAAGCTTAGGGTTGCTGAAATGAGATGATGTATGAGATCATTGCCACTGGTAATTATTATTATGCCTGTTAATTTGATTCCATGGTGGCCTTAAGGCTGTGGAGCACGTTTTTAAACCTAACTCCTTCTGACTTGGATCTCAGCCTGAGATTCCTTCTCTCCACACTTCCCTCTTCTTGGCTGTGGGTGTGCAAGGCAGGGAAAGTTATGGGTCAGAATCTGGAAGACCCCATTGTTTTGAGGAGGGGGAGCCTCAGGACAGTCCAGTCCATCCGGCTTGGTGTGCTGTGGGCCAGCTCCTGCAGAGGCCCAGCTGCAGTTCTTGTGGAGCTGTCACACCCAGCAGTGTGAAGATTATGCTGAGTTTCTGGCCTTCCCACCCTGTAGGCCATGGAGAGCGAGGTCAACGTGTGCTACAAGGAGCTGTGCGGGCCCCGGCCGGGCCATCAGCTCTTGACCAACCAGCTGCAGCGCCTGTGTGTGCTGCTGGATGTCTACCTGGAGACAGAGATCCACGATGACAGCGTGGAGGGGCCCAAGGAGTTTCCCCAGGAGAAGATGTGTCTGAGGCTTTTCAGGTGAGGAGAGGGGTCAAAGCGCCAGGGACCCCCAGTCCTGCCTCTCACAGGGATTTGGGGCAGAGATCAGAGCCTGGCATAGAAGTCATACTTGCTCCCAGGTACACTTCTCTCTGTTCACAGAGGAAATTAAAATCCTGTTGCTGGGTTTCCTGGGGAGAGCTTGTGGCCTCCTCCTTCCTGAAACTTTTCCCTCATCCTTTCCTACCAGCCTGGTCCAATTGTTCTTCACAAACACCCTCTGAAGAAGGACCACCCACTGAGTGAGCAGCACTGAAACATGAACCAAGAGGATTTGGTTGAATTTTACTTTCTATACTTTATGTACTATCCAAATAAGCTTTTTAATCTATTCATACCTCCACCAGTCCTGAGTCTGCTGTACTCTTCTTAGGGTGTTCACACGCCTATGAGAATCATAGCTGTAGGCATTCGGGCTTTACAAAATGAACCAGCCTAGACGTAAGACAAACACAGGTGCAGATCTCTACTTTGCTGCTCACCAGCTGGGTGACCTTGGAAGAGTCACTTCAGCTCACCTCAGCTCTGAGCCTATTTCCTAAAGGCCAAGTATTACCTTCTAGCTCATGATAAATTAGAGATTGTTCACATAAAGCTTCCAGAATGATTCCTAGCATAGAGAGGGGCTAAGAAAATGCCAGCAGGTCCTGACAGCTTGGTATTTAGCATGTCTGCTTTCATAGCACTTCTAGGTACTTTTCCTTTTTGCTTTGGGGTCCTCTCTCCCTTTCATCCCCTAACTCATGTTCTTAGAGTCCATTCCAAAACTCCAGAGTTCACATTGCTCAGGCATCCCTTCCATTTTGGGCAACTGCTTGGTAGGGAGGGGGGAAGGGCCATAATCTGTTTCTCATTGGGACATCCCCGTTCCCTCTCAGTCTAAGATGTGCCTTTCCTGCCCCTCACCTTCGCAGGCAGCCAGTCCCAGCTGGGGGAAGCTGTCCCCAGTATCATCCTGCCTCTGTCTGGCACCTCTGCCTCGCCTGATTTGTGGTGCTATCTGATAATAAGCAGCTCTGACCCCCAAGTGGCTGCTAGGAGGTGGTGCTGGTGGCTAGGATTTCCTCTCCCTAGTGGGTCTGTGTGATACCTCAGTTCTTCCCACCCTCCCAGCCTGCTGTAGCACATTTCTAGGGTGGGATCTTCCACATGGCCAGTGTTTATTTTCTGTTATCTAATGGTTCCCAAAGGACCCATTTTCTGAAGTGCTTTGTACGTTATCCAGGCTGAGCTCCTATGAGGGCATTCTGGGAAGGTGCTGCTTTGGCCTCTTAAGATCTAATTAACTCCATGACTGGTGAGATGTGAGGTTCTTGGCCTAGAGTCCAACTGACCATTGGGATCAGGCCAACGGGCTGAGCCTTTATTTTTGTTTAATGCAACAAATTTTATTTAGTACACTCAGTCCCAACATTCAGCACAAAAAGTTTACAGAGGATGGGTAGGTACCTTCAGGCTCTGGGTTCTCCATGAGCCATATGCCTAGACTTGCCCAGATGACAGTGCCCTTCTGGTTTTGGGAGGTATATGGGGCCAGAAAGACGTAGGTTCAAATTGCTGCTCTTACCTGTGCAATTAGAGTCTATACTTAGTGCCTTTGAGCTTCAGATTCCTTGTTAGTAAAACAGTGTTCACTTCGGGTATGGTTGGGAAGATGAAATTAAACCAGATGGAGCATGTAAAGTGCCAAGCACAGTGCAGGCAGAATAAGCCCTCACTTAGGTAAGCGGTTGCCTTGATGTTGGAATTAAAACCTCTTTTCTTTCCTCATCTCTACAATCCCTGACACACACACTCCCTCCCACCCTCCTTACTCAGACGAAGATCCAGGGTGTTACCTAGTGATTACCACTGAATGTCAGTCATAGATGAATGAAAGAGGCCCTTTACCTGGACATCAGTTACTGTGGAGCTTTGTGGAAGAAGACTCTGTGTGAAGTTTTGCTGGGGGCCCAGGATGATAGCTGAAGCACCTAAGCTTCACAAGGTCAATCAAGGCTTTGGCTTCAGACCTGGTCTTGAATTGGGCTCTGCTACCTTCTGGTGGAATAATGTTGGGCAGATAGTTTACTCCCTGTTTTCTTTATTTTTTAAAGGATAGAATTAAACCATGTTTGTTGTCAAACATAGAAATAAACATCAACAGTTGTTAAAAACACTCAAAAGTGAGGGTGCCCATGTCCTACCTGTCCCCAGAAGTGCCCATTGTCAGCGAGGGCCCTTCCAGGCCTGTGTTCATGCGTTTGCAAGCATATAAAGACATTTTTACAAAAATGATATCACAACCTTACATATTGTTCTGCAGTGCGCTTTTCTCACACATTTCTTTTTTCCCCCTAACAGCTATATAGTACTGTGCGGGTAAGTGTCATTTATCCTATTAGCCCAAAGGGCTTGGTATTAACTGATCTTCATTCTGTTTCTCCAGGGGTCCCAGCAGGATGAAGCCATTTAAATATAACCATCCTCAAGGATTCTTCAGCCATCGCTGACCTCCTGCTTGGCCTGTTGTCTCCCGCCCTAAGTGCTGTGCCTCTGCTTTCTCCTCTGGTCCACATGTGGCTCCTGCTAGTCTCCAAAGACAGGTTTTATATTTCTAGCCGATTAAAGTGTCATCTGACCAAGTGGCCTTTGTCTTGCGGCTCTTTGGGAGGAGGGGGGTGGCTTCACAGTCTTTAAGGGCCAGTAGGAGCCATAGCACGTGAAAGCGCATTTGTGGATAGGCTTTCTCTAGGTGGCCAAGAAAAGCAGAGAGCAAAAAGATTCTGATTCTACTGTAGAGAGATGCTGCCTGCTTGGCCACACTCACCTTACTTGTTCTGCTTTGGGAAGTCCTTGTTATCTAGCTATTATCCTAAGTCCTTGCTATTAGGAGGTGGCAGGGGAAACCAAATCAGCATAGCACAAAAGCCAAGGCTCTTCTGTCCCTCCCCTCACTCTTTCCACTGGACCTGTCAGTGTTTCTGACGGCCACATTCTCTGATCGCTAGGTGTCATGAATGTCTGACAGTGCAATGGAAATAGGAGACAAATTCACAAAGAATGATTGTAAATCTTGCAGGATTTCATGAAGTCGATGAGTGATTTTGGAGAATCATATGCAGAGCTTCCACCTAGTGAAGCTCTGGCAGAGAGACCAGGTGGCACCCGAGAATCTTCATGGTGATGACAGGCTAAGTGCCTCCAGAAATAATGATTTGACTCTCATAGGATTAAGAGAAGTCCTGGAGAAATAGGTAACACCTTCTAAAATGTTTGCAAAATTATCTCTTTTGTAATCCTGCAGAAGTGGAACAAAGTGAAGGATGGCATCAAGTGTTCTCAGATAGGTTTGTCAGAAAAACTAGACTCCTCCAAATCAGTACTCTCTTTATTCTTTACTCATTTTAAGAAGTCATATAAAGATGTAAAAATATTTTAGTTGCAAGTATAATATAAAGCTTGCTAGCTACAGGATGAAATAAGTTTTTTTCAGCTTTATTGAGATATGATATTGTGTAAGGTGTACAACATGATTATTTAATATTCTGTATATTGCACAATGATCACCACAATAAGGTTAGTTAACACCATTATCTCACATAGGTAGTTTTTTCTGTGATAAGAACTTTTAAGATTGCTCTTAGCAATTTTCAATATATGTAAATTTTATTTATATGATAGTCCCAATCAAATGGTTTATTTTCTCCTACAACATACTTTGAAGTTTGGTCCCAATGTACGTGTATTTGTTCTAAGAGTACCTCTGGTATAAAAGCTGTTATCCTCCTGTCCTCACAGCTGATTGCTGAGCACCCAGTGACAAGGATTTTCTAAGGAAGCACTGGGAGACTCCTCGCCCTGGCAGGGCCCTTCATTTAACAGATGGAAACCTGAGGCCAGTGAGGAGAGAAGGGCTCTTAGAGAACCACCACTACCTGTGTCCCTCTTTCCCTTCATCCTACATCATTCCTTTGAATTCCTGAGGTAGAAACTCTCCAGCCCAGAGGTCCTTGAACTTCAACATGTATGAGTCACTCATCCTGGGAGCCAACTAGAAATGCAGATCCCCATGCCCTACTCTAATATTCGGGCTCAGTTGACTCAAGATGGGCTTGAGGAAGTGTATTTTTAATGAGCTTCCCAGGTGCACATTGCCCTAGTCTCTTTGGAAGTTGCTGTACTTCCTTCATTTTTATTGGTGACTCCTCAAATAATGCAGAAGCGCCCCTTTCTCTGTGGGCAGCTCCCCCTCTTCTGTCTTCTTCACCTTGGGCAGCAGCATGAGCCTTTGGGTGCTTTTTCCTCTCCACAGAATGAGATCTCCTTGTCTTTTCTCTGACCTACTTGCCTGGGACTCTCCCTGCCAGCACCTCCTTGGCCTGGCCACCTTCAGGCTTTGAGTCTCACCGCCTGTGCTGAATAAGATTGAAATGGGGCCTAAAAATAGTTCTTTTAATGGCCTCTGCATTGCAGTCTCCACTGCGTTCTTGGCTGGAAGGCAGCCAAACTGACTCAGCACCAAAGCTTGTCTCCGGTAGCCGGTAGCCGGGACAAGGTTGCGAACAGCTTGTGAGGGCTGGGAGGAGGCTTGGTTTCCTAGGCAGGGATGTCAGAGCCTGTCACCCTCCAGAAGAGGTTTTTCTTCTTCAAAGGAGAAGACTGAACAAAAGAATCCTTTGGCCTTAAGGAGAAGGTTTTAAAACTAGTGAGAAGCCCAGGATAATCCAGCCCCTTTGAGCTAGTTAACTGAGCCATTTGTGCCCTGGCTGGCAGACTAGGGGAAGGGACCCAGCTTGCTTCCTCCTTACCCAGAATTGGCCTTGCCTTCCCTGGGACACATGTGCCTTGGTTGGCAGACTAGGGGAAGGGACCCAGCTTGCTTCCTCCTTACCCAGAATTGGCCTTCCCTTCCCTGGGACACATCCCAGAATACAGGCCTTTTCTGTCCTCCTGCACCTGGGAGGGACTCAGCACAGGTACCATGCCTTTTCAAAGCTGCCATCCATATGTTCTTGATTTCTTACCTTCTAGTTTCTCAGTTTTCTCCCCAGCTTGCCCTTTCCTAACTTTACAAATAAATCTAAAAGACCCTTTTTATTTTAAGGGTGTTCCTGTTGATCACTCTTGGGGAAACAAAGCTAAAAACCCTATTCATGGGAGGGAGCAGAGCTGCCAGTCTTCCCAAGGAACTTTATCCCCATCAGTGGAGCCCTGTCTCTGTCTTTCCATGGTGTGCAGCAGCCTATCATGGTGTTAAGCATCTATTTTGGGTCAGGCTCTGTGCTAGTCACGATTTTACATTCACTGTCTTATTTATTACAACAGTCCCCAGGGTACACATTCCCTTTGCTTTCACTGATGAGGAAACTGAGGCTCAGAAGACTTGTCCATGCTTAGATGGTTCTCAAGCTGCCCAGCTAGTCAATGCTGCTCTCTCTCAGAGTCTCCACTCTCTTCCCTCCAGGCACTTGGTAGGACAACTCTGCCTATTCCCTCTGATGTTAGATATAACTGTGTGAATTGCTTTGGTCAATGAAATGTTGCCAGAAGAGACCTATATCATTTCCAGGTAGAAGTTTCAAGAGCCACGTTCCCTCTCCATTGCCTCAGTGAACTTAGAAGCCTGAGTCTAGATGGGTCCCCTATTAGCTTGGTCCTTGAGTGACCACTATGAACAGAAATTCCTGCCAACCCACAGTGGATAATAGCATGAGTGAGAAAGATGCTTTCTTTATGTTAAGCCATTGAGATGTAGTTATTTATTGTGACAGGCAGGAACTAACCTATCCTCTCTGAAACAATACCCCATAGAAAAAATTGAAGGATGTTTTTCATCAACTCAGCTGTATCTGCTGAGCTAACGGCTAGCTAGCAGGAAGGGCACATCCCAAAGCAGTCAGCTCTTTTCCACATGTTGTCTGTGTCCTCCAGGCCTCTGACATCTGACAAGCAATTTCTTAGCAAATTGATTCTATTGGTTTTTCTTAAGGCTTGTTATCCTCCCAGAGGGAGGATGCTTTGGTTTGTCAGATGGTTAAAGTCAGTCCTGATTGGTATCTGGCTAACTATAATGCCCACAGCACTGGGAGCACGTCCGCTTTGGGCAAAAGAGGAGGGGCAGCATGTGAGATCCTTCTGTCCGGCCTGTGCCACTGGGGGCTACCACTACAATGATATCATCAGGGAGGGCTGGGCTTTGGCATTCCAAATATCATCAGGATCTGGTTTGGGGATGGCCATGTATTATGTCCTGGGAGAAGACAAAGGCAGGATGGCAGAATAGGAAAGAGCTTGTACTCTGTTCAGACAGGCCTGAATTTAAATCCAGGCTGCACTTCCTCCTGGCTCTGGGACTTGGGGCAAGGTCCACTTCTCTGAGCCTGTTTCCTCAACTGAAAAATGCAGGTTCAATAGTGGGCTTTTGTTAGACTGTGGACATAAAACACGTAGTCCAAGGCCAATCCCTCACCCAGGAAGTGGTGACTATGGTGGTGCCAAAGCTGATGGCTTGGGTTCTAGTCTAGACAAGTTGCCTCTCATCCTCCATGGACATTAGCTGAGTCAGTGACTCCTAAGAGTGCTTATAGCTCTTAATACCTATCACATCTTCTCTCTGATTTCAAAACTGAGTAGATGTTAGTTTTCTAGGTAAGGGTCATTGAGGGCAATTTTTAAAAATCAGATTCTTAAAAAGATTAATATCCATTCACTCCGTATTTTCTTTATAGAATTGGAAGGTATAGACATGCTACCAACTGGCTGTTTGGCCTTAGGCTCTTGCCTTTCTGGCCTCAGTTTTCTCATCCATATAATGAAGAGATTGGACTAAATGATGTTTTAGTCCCTATTTCTTTGACTGGTTACCATCTGTTTATAATAATGCAAGGAGCCTTTGCCTCCTCTCCCCAACCCGTCTTCACCTCGAGGTTCTGGTATTTACCTCTGTATTTTTAATCATATGTAATCTCTTGATATATCACTTAAAAAATTTTTATTTTGAAATAATTTTTAACTTACTGAAAAGTTGCCAAGATAGTACTTATAGGGAGTTCCTGGATATGCTCCATCAGCTCCCTCTAATGTTAACATCCTACATGATCATGGTACATTTGTCATAACTAGGAAAGTCATGTTGGTACATTACTATTAAGTGAACTACAGACTTTATTTGGTGTTCACTAGTTTCTCCGCTAGTGTTCTGGGTCCAGTCCAGGACACCACATCACATCGAGTCATCATGTAGCCTTGGTCTCCTCCAGTCTGTGATAGCTTCTCAGTCTTTCCTTTACTTTATCAATTTTAAACATTTCTCCTCCCATACCCACGCCAAACTGAATAGAGGCTGCACAACTATAGTCCTTCAATCCCTCTTTGTCTGGAGAAGCATGTTGGAGTTCAGGTAAGTGACTATTGAGAAACTGTTCCCAATAGTGATTACTGTAGTCTTCACTCAGCCCCTCATTCTGAAGGCTCATTCCTCCTTACAAAAGAAGACATATGCAGACTCTATAAGTAGACTGTTCAATGTCTTTAGAACCTCACCTGTTCTTAAACTTCAGTATGCATTAGAATCCAGTGGGAGTTGGCCTTTCCTAGGCTTGCCTCTCACATTCTGATTCAGTGGACTAGGGTAAAATCAAGCCTTTTTATAAAGGGCTCCCAGATGATGCTGATGTTGGTGGTCCATGGACCACGCTAAGAAACCATGCACTGGGCCACCTGTCTACAAGATTATAAAACTAAAGCATCTAGCACACTGCCTGGCACATGGTTTGTGCTCAGGAAATAATACAAGGGAGGCCACGTAACTGGTCCCAGAATCTTAAGAAACCCCTGATGCTTGCTCAGTCCTGTGCAGTCTTGTGACATCTAGACCTCCCTTGGCCCTGTCCCCTGGCCTGCCAGGGGGAGAGAATAAATAACAGCAGCAGCATTTTCATTTCATAAGCACTTGGTTTTATTGCACAGAAACAATTGAAAGTGGCCCAGTGGAAAAGTGCGCCCTGGCATAATTCAGTGGCCAGTGCCCAGCCCTACCCACTCCAGGCTCTTCCAGGATAAAGAGCTCTGGGCAAGGGCCTGAACACTCCTTTGGAAAACAGAAGGCATTCGGGAGTAGGTTAAGACATCTCAAGCATAATGTGTTTCTAACTGCTCATTCATTATCGCGGTCATCTGTCAGTTGCACATACAGGAAATAAATGCACTTATTTGGAAAGGAGGGGGGCAGTTTTTATAGTCAAGTGTTTACGTGTGGCATTCGGCATATATCACATTCCGCTACATAAGCTATCATAACATAATGGTCCATCACCTGGGGAGGGTTTGGGGCATGGGGGACAGAGTGGGGAATGCCCTTCCTTGCTAACACTGCTAACAGAAATTCTTGTTTGGTGAAGGAGAGCCCCATAATCTAAGCAGAGTTTCTTCTTATATAAAGAAAAGGGAGAAAAAAATGAAAATTTGTTATGCTGACCCTTGAGCTCCCAGACCCCCCTGAGTTTCTGTGGCTGCTCTGGATGTTCCTTTCTCCCTACCTTACTTCTCCCCCTTGGCAGCCTTGTCTTCTGTGGCCTTTTCTGGAGGCCTGCTGTCTTTTTGGTCTGTGCTAGAGGACTTCTCAGCCTTTTCCGTCTTGGCTTTGCTGGGTGTGGGGGCCTCCTTGCTGGGCTCTTTCTCGGCTTGGGCCTCTGGTTTGGGTTTCTCCTCTGACTTCTTGGCCTCTGAGGCCTTCTCCTCCTTGGCATCTTTTTTTTCAGGTGCTGCTGGCGTGTCTTCCTTCTTCGGCTTTTCCGGCCCCTTCTCTGCTGCTTTGCTGGGTCCTTGGGCCTTGGCATCGTCTGGTTCCTTCTTGTCCACCTCCGTCTTTTCTTTGGGTTTGGCCTCTTCCTTCTCCTTGGCAGGAGCCTCCTTCTCTGGAGTCCCTGCTTTCTTCTTATCTTCAGCCTCTTCTTTCTTGGCTTCAGCTGTGGACTCCTTGGGTTTCTCCACAGCAGGCTCCTTCTTCTCCTGGGCCTCGGGCTTTGAAGCCTCTTTCTTGGGCACCTCATCTTTCTTGCTGTCCTTTCTCTCCTCGGTTTTTGGTGCAGCTGAAACTTTCTCTTCCTCTGCTTTCTTTGGAGGCTCTTTGACTTTCACCTCCTGGGGTTTCTCTTCTTCCTTCATGGGCGACTTGGCCTCTTCCTTCTGTGAGACCTTCTCAGGGGCCTTGACCTCCTCCTTCACGGGAGATTTCACCTTCTCTGGGGCCTTGACCTCCTCCTTGCCAGGGCTTTTGGCCTTTACAGGTGATTTGATATCTGCAGGGGACCTTACTTCCTCCTTCACTGGGGTCTTGGCTTCTGGGGACTTCACATCAAGGGTCTTGGCCTTCTCAGGGGACTTAGCTTCTTCCTTCACTGGGGACTTGGCCTTTTCAGGGGACTTGACCTCAGCTGGTGATTTTGCTTCTTCCTTCGCTGGGGACTTGGCCTTCTCTGGGGATCTGACCTCCACTGGGGACTTGGCTTCCTCCTTCGCTGGGGACTTAGCCTCTTCCTTCGCTGGGGACTTGGACTTCTCGGGGGACTTCACCTCAGCTGGCGATTTTGCTGCTTCTTTCACGGGGGTCTTGGCCTTGGCTGGTGACTTGGCCTCTTCCTTCTCTGGGGACTTGGCCTCTTCCTTCTCTGGGGACTTGGCCTCTTCCTTCTCTGGGGACTTGGCCTCTTCCTTCTCTGGGGATGCAGCCTCTTCTGCTGGGGGAGACTTTGCTGCTGCTTCTCCCCCTTCTGCTTCCTCCTCTCCCCCCTCTTCCTCCTCCTTGCCCTCCTCCTCTGTAGCCTCTTTCTCCTCCTCTTCAGTCACTTCAGTCACCTGGATCTCCTCTGTCTGTTCCTCCACAATCACAGTCTCCTTCTCTGACTTCTCTACCACCTTGATCTTTTCTTCACTCTTGACCTTTATGTGAGTGGACGTGGAAGGGATTTTAGGGAGTCCTTCTGGAAGGGAGAAGGGACTTGGGCCAAAGCCAATCCGACACTCTTCACCCTCCAGGAGTTTTCTGCAGAATGGATAATGGAACACATTAGTATTACCTCAGAGCAGACTGATGGCTTTGGGGTCTTCCTGGTTTCCTCTGAAAGTCCATAGCGCCCAATGATAGGGACTTTCGCAGAGGAAGGAATATGAATGATGGGCACTTTGAGAATGGGAGAAAGTCACTTAGCAAATCATCCCAGGAACCACTCAGAATCCACCCCCCAATGGCACTGTTCTTGTTTAATGCAGCTAAGGCTGCAACTTACGAGATAAAACAACTTTTTTTCCTTGAAAAATTACCCTCAAGAGAGAGTGCCTCCTTTAACAAAATTTACATTTATTGTCTCGCAACTAAAATGTTATTCAAGAGGAAGTTGGGAGCCTGAGCAAACAATTTCACACTTAAGGACTTCGGTTTAAGAGGTCAAAGAATGTTCCCATTGGAATTTCCAGCATCTCCTATCACCTTGTAATTTCATCCCTTGAGTCTTAGGAACGGGGTGATGGGAGCAGCTTCTGCTCTTTGCTACTCAATAGATGTGTAACTTTGGCCAAGCCACTCAGACTCTTTAAGCCTCAGTTTCCTCACTAGTGAAAAGAGGGTCATAAGAGTCCCTACCTCAGAGGGTTGTTTCAGTGAGATGGATAAAAAGGACCTGGGAATGCCTGCCTCAGAGTAAGTGTGAGGCTACCCTTATGGACCAGTGCTTTGCAAGTGTAATGACACACAAATCGAAGGATTTCATTAAGATGCAGATTCTGATTCATTAGGCCTGTGGGGGATGAGGAAGGTGAGGCCGGGAGTATATCTTCCTATAAAAAGCTCATGGTTAATGCTGATTGTGCTGGTTCATGAACCAGGCTTTGAGTAGTAGGACTACATACAGCCTAGAGTCAAGATGTGGGAAGTGAAGAGTGAGCAGACAGCAGCTGGGACAGGACCTCACGGGGTCAGCTCTGCTCCTCAGTAGGAAACTGCTAAGTGGGAAGGTCATGGCTTTCTCATGGCTACCATTTACTGAGAAATTTCTCTGTGGCAGCCCAGGGGTACCCTCCTTACCAGAATTAGCTCATGAACAGGATTAGTTCCTCCCAACAGCCCCTGACAAGTTACTGTTTTCTGTTATTGTTTTGAGAATTTTTATAAGAGTTTATTTGAGCCAAACTGACGACATGCTGGGGAGCAAGATTTCAAATGATCCCCACGTAGATACTGTTGTTATCACTCCCATTTTATTTCCCCAGAAAACACATGCTCAGATAGCCAAGAAACTCTAAGAGAGAGAGAGTTTAAAAGCCCCTGACAACTCAAGTACCTCTTTTCCCTCCAAAGCAGGCCTCTGGCTGCCTGGATTTGGGGAGGGGGCGAGGAGCTTTAACCGTCTAAGTCACTGTCATAATGACACTAACCCACTCTCAAGGTTTTTGTCTCTCGGAAAGTAGAATGGTGGTTGCCAGGGCTGGGAGAATGGGGGAAAGGAGCATGGGGAGTTATTGTCTAATGAACACAGAGTTTCAGTTTGAGATGAAAAATGTCCTGGAGACAGATGGTAGTGATAGTTGTACAACAATGTAAATGTACTTAAAGCCATGGAACTGTATATTTAAAAATGGTTAAATGGAAAATTTTATGTTACATATGTTTTACCACAATAAAAAAAGTTCATCTTTATCTCTAAGACAGGCATGCTGCCTCACTGGGGGCTCAGAACCCAAGACTTAGCTCCTCGTAAGAATACAAGGGCTACCCCGAAGGCCCCCTGGCCCACCTCACCTGTAAGCGGCAATCTCAATATCCAGAGCCATCTTGACATTGAGCAAGTCCTGATATTCTCGGAGCTGGGCAGCCATCTCCCACTTGGTGTTCCTCAGCTCGGCGTCCAGCTGCTGGATAGCTTCCTACGGAGGAGAGGTCACATACAATGTCAAGTGCCAGCAACACCTGGCCCTCAGCACCAGAGAAGCTGGGCAGGCCGTGCAACCCAAAGCAGTTTTGTCCAGCTGTGCAGCTGGAGCCAACACCCACCCTGTCAAAGCTGCAGGGGCCTCATTCATGGACACGGAAAAAAATTCAGCTATGTATATAACTTCAGCCTGGGGGAATGGTCTGGAGCGAAACACACCAGACTCCAACAATGGTTATCGCTGGTTAGTAGGACAATGGTTGAATTTTTACAGATCTCAAAAGTTAAGGAAATAGTAGGGACAGCCTTGTCTGCTTTGGCTCCCTATTGGTTCTCTAATTCTCCAAAGTGCCTGCCACATAGTAAGGCTCAGGAAGCATATGTTGTTGACAGCTGAGTATAATACACAAAAGCACAGAAGTTAAATATGAGTTGAAGCTTCTCCCTTGTTCCCAGGCCCAGTTTAACCACTGCTTAAAGTAAACCATTATGGTTGATTTTTATTGCCTCCTTTTTGCTTTCTCAGATTTCTAATTTTTCTATCACCATGTATTATTTACATAACAAGTTCTTTATAACTGATGTTTTCTTTAATAGGGAATCTGCCAAGGCCTTTCCCAGGTTGCCCACACTCACAGACACTGGTTATTGTTTACCAAATGCCCTTATTGTGACCAAACCTTGCTAAGAACATTCACACTCATCTCTTAAAAAGTTTATCTCCTTAACCTTCACAGCTCTGCAAAGCAGGCATTCTTTTTTTTTCATTGAAGGAATTCAGATTCAGAGAGGCACATAAATTTCCTAGAGTCATATAGCTAGAAAGACATACCGGTATATCTGGTATGTCTGACTCCAAGGCCCATGATCTTGATCACTACAACCCTGCTCAGAGAAGGGCAGTGATTTGTCTAGGGTCACCCAACCAGGTGAGGCAGTCTGGGTCCCTGCCCCACCCCTGCCCACCTGGTAGGATGCGATGTCAGCCTGATGACGATCCTCCAGCTCAGAGCGCTGCCTTTCCAGAGAGTCCTTGGTGCCTTTAAGTGCCTCCAGCTCTGTGGTCCTGGCCTGCAGCTGGCGCCGGTACTCAGTTATCTCCTCCTGTGCTGAGCGCATGGCATCCGTGTTCACCTTGGCTGCCTCTGACAGTCGGTCCAGCCTCACTGGGGGAGAAGTTAATGGCACAGGGTTATATACAACTGGATATGTGTTCCAATGCCCAGATCCAGAAGGTGACACACATAGGTTGAGGACCTACTGGGTGGTAAGTGCCATCTTGGATGCTTAACTCACCCTATCTTATATGATAGGCAAATGTCTACTGCCCAAGGCTACCCAGCTAATGAGTGGCAGAGCTGGGATTCAAATCTAGTGTCTGTCTGGCTCCAAAATTAGATGTCTCCCTGACTCAGGATCTAGAGACACTACAGGACAGAGGTGGTCTCCAATTCTGGCCCTAATGCCTGGTTCAGCTCCCCAGCAAGGACTGGCAGTGCTGGGGGTTCAGATGTGAAACCTGGCTTAACTCTAAACTTGTGGCTCAGAGTTTACCTGAACTTGTGGCTGAGTAAGTTCACAAGCCTTTGACCTTTGAAAACATGAGGGTGCTGTGAGCCACCATGTAGCCACAGCCCCTTCCTTGCAGGTTTCTGCTGTGCAGAGCCCAAGGTCACTGCAGAGCCTGGGGCCTGTGTGCCAGCTCTTCTGTCCCTTCCTCCACTTGGGCACATTCTGGCACTGGGGCCCTTGAGGCAATGGCAACCACACCTGGCCCCTGCAAGCAAAGGGCTGCTGGTTCCCAGACCTTCCAGGGCCAGTGGAGGTCTAGAGACTAGTCCACATATCCTGAAAGTGAATGTCTTGAATCCTGACATAGTGACACCCAGGGCTTCACTCGACAGTGTGGGAGGAAGAAGGGAAGCCAGCTGGATGGGCCAGAAAACTAGGATGATTTGCCTTATGAAGGGCAAAGCCCAAGAGAATAGAGGGGTTTGCTCTGGGAGGAATCTTGCTGCAGAGATGGGGAGGGGACAATTCTGCTACTGCAGAGAGGTGGAAAAAAACAAAACGGGAAAAGCCATGCATCTAAATCCCGTTTTTCCTGGCTTTCGCTACTAGTGCTGACAAAGGTTTAGAAACCATCCTGATGGGTGAGGATTCTTACCCACTGTGGATCACAGACTCATTTGGAAATCACTGAAACCCCTGCAGCCTCTCCCAAAAACAATGCACAAAGTTTTGCAGTTTTTGTGTGTGAAGGAGGTGAGGTGGGGTGGGGTGGATCGGAGAGCTTCCCAGAGTAAGAAACCCAACCGTCTACCCCCATCTTTCAACCCAAACAGAAATGAAAACCAGAGAGGGAAAGTGTTGGTCAAGGTCACCCTGCAGCTGCTGGAAACAGCTTCAGTGCTGCTGCAGCTGCAATCTAGCTGACTCAGGGCAGCATGGAGTTGGGGGAGGGGTACGGACTCGGGAGGCTTCCAGTTTCCCCGGCAGGAGAGGGCTCACCTGCGACCTCAGTCTCAGGTACCAATTGTTTGTAGTGATGGTCCCCCTGCCGGGGAGAAAAGATACGAGAATGCCCCACCGCTCCCCTTAGTAGCGGGGGAACGCCCGACAGGGATCAGAAGAATGAAGTCCCTGCAGTGCAGGAAAGGAGGATGGGCAGCGTTGGGCAGAGAAGGCAGGTTACTTTGAACTGCAGAGACCCCAGCGCTAGTAACTAGAAGCCAGCACTGCTTCGGAGCTAGAGAGGGAACCTGATGTAAAGGGGCCTTGGGGGGTTATCTAACTATGGTGGGGAAAACCAGAGAGGCCTCAGAGTTAAAGGACAAACATAAGGACCCTGGAGGAGGGCAGCCAAAGGTGAAGTCACACTTGACTGAGGGTGGGTGGGTGGAGGTGGGGTGGGGGGCGCCACATGAGACCCAGAAGGCAACCATTATTTAACTAAGGGTTATGAACTTTGCATGGGGAAGCAGAGTAGCGCGCCCTCTGGCCTCTAGTCCAGCCACCTCCACGCAGTGTCCACCAGCGTCCCCTGGTGTCACGCCACCCCGCCCCTCGCTGCCCGACCAGCAGGGGGCGCCCCGTCCTCCCCATCCCCGCTCGCTCGCGAACCTCGGAACCACTCCTCGGACTGCAACGTGCTTTGCACCGCGTGGCCTTCAAGCTGCGCGCGAATCTCGCGCAGCGCTGACGTCACGTCGCACTTGAGGGCGTCCCGCGCGTCGGCCTGCGCCTGCGCCTGCGCCACTCCGCAGCCCTGGATTTGGCTGAGCAGCTCGCCCACCTCCTCCTGGTGGTGGCGCCGCAGGTAGCCGCACTCCTCCTGAAGGGCTTGCACCTTCTTCTG